AAAACAGTTAAAGAAATATAAGGATTAAACGCATTTTTTTTTAAAATTATTGGTGTGTAAACTAGAACAATTCACTCACAAATGTTTGTGAGTGAATTGGGTCTAGTTTACACATAATGGACATACATTTGTTTTATGAGTGAATTGGTTTAGTTTAAACATGTTATACATGAACAAACTCCAGAAAAATTGTGTTTGATCCTGAATAATGTGAACTGTGATTGTTCTCTTTTTGTTGCTTAAAAATTTTATTCTGGGGACTTAAAAGGATTCTTTATGGCCTATCTTGTTCAAACATTCTCCTCTAAACAAGTACACTATTATATATATATATATATATATATATATATATATGCATTTACACATGACATATCTTTACAACATAATGATATTTCTTTCACATTCTCAATTCACAATAACATATAAATCTGACAATAAACTTGTATATGTTGTTAACAAAATTGTAATAAATTTTATCCTTTCAATTTTTGGAAAAAAATAAGGAAATATGTTTTAAATTTCATCAATTTCAAAGTTGAGAACACTCAAATATGATCCTGTTTTTCATACAAAACTCCAAACTCAATCAATATTTCTTTCAAACATTCACTTCATACAAAATTTTAGCATGTGCAAATACTTTGTCATTAGCAAAACTTATGGGAATGCTTAGTAATAATTAAATTAAGAGCTATCCGAGTATCTCATTAAAATGGATGCAACCTTCATTCTTTCTATGAGCAAATGCTCATGCAACCATAAATGACCCAGACTTATGTCCAAAAATAGAATTTCCCTTCTTACCCCAATTTTCATTTAAAAAAATTAATCTGAATATATATCGATGTTCATACACAGATAATAATGACAAATAAGCACAGCACATTTCATAAGGTCTAAAAATATCACAGTTAACAACTTAATAATTTAATTTATATAAATATCTATGACAATGCCATTGCAAGAAAATTAAAACCTATTTTTCCTCCTTAAGCAAAAACACTTTTCAAATTAAGCTGGAAACTGCACCATGTAACTTCGTTTAATTAAATTTTTGTTTCTTTCTTCAAGATGTAAAGTTTAATTTATTTTTTCACTCTATGTCTAACTTTGTCAGTGTTATAAAAATAAGAAGAAAAAAAAAAACACATCTACTGGTCAAATTCTAAAGGAAAGTAAAAGTAACATCATCCTTTACATTATCTGTCAATTGTGTTATTGATAATATGAAATTTGCTGAAGGAGTAATTTCTACTTCCACTTAAAAATAATCAGATTAACCTGTATATCTTACAGTTTGACCCCAAAAGATGAAAGTTTTGAATACCGGAGCTCTGAATATTAAAATGTGTATTGGAGACCCTATAATCTTCCAAAACGAAAAGAAATTCTGTCATGGCATGAGACAGTTTATCCTAAAGTAAACATAACAAATTCTGTTGATTTTGCATAAAATACAAAAATTAAATAGACAACCAGAGGGCTTTTCATCCTAACATCAACAGATCCATTCTTAAAAAATTAATTTTGGTTTGGCAGATGAGTGAAAGATAATATCCTGCTTATGATAATACTTTTTTTAGTTTTTCATTATTACCTACATCTAGAGATTGTAATTTATAAATAAGAGAGAGATTTCAGTTACATGGCATAAGTTAGTTTAATCGGCTCAAAATATGTAAAGGATTTTATATACCTTTTAATAAATTTACAGATATTCATATATAAATAAATTTGGTGTATTTACTGTCTTCTGATTGGTTAAAAGTATTACCTTTATTTTCAATGTTGTCAATTTTTATGGCGACACGCCCACTTTGACGGTTGTGTATTCATACGCCAACATGTGTGTACGTTGTTATTGTTAATATAAATAATATAGAAAGCTCTTTGAGCCTTATTTTTGATAGAAATTTATTTATAATGAATGACAATAATTTATTTTGAATTTATTGAACCATAAAATTAATTTTTGACTCTTCACATTTTACATAATCCGCTTCGCGGATTATTCAATGTGAAGAGTCAATAAAATGCTTCGCTGGGGCGCAGCTTGATACGACCGCAGAGGTCGAACCCTGAACAGTTGGGGCAAGTATGGACACAACATTCAAGCTTGATACAGCTCTGAATTTGGATTGTTATTAAATATTTGACACAGCATAGGTTTCTGACACAGAAAGAATGTGGTCTAAGAACTTGAATTTTTTTAATTTACCTATTGTGGTCCAATGTCCAAAATCAAAATACATGGTTAGATTCAGCATATCAAAGAACCCCATATATTCAATTTTTGTTAAAATCAAACAAAGTTTAATTTTGGACCCCAACTTGGACAAACTTGAAAACTGGGCCCATAATCAAAAATCTAAACACATGTTTAGATTCAGCATATCAAAGAACCCCAAGAATTCAATTTTTGCTAAAATCAAACTAAGTTTAATTTTGGACCCTTTGGACCTTAATGTAGACCAATTTAAAAAACGGGACTTAAAATTAAAAATCTAAATACACCGTTAGATTTGGAATATCAAAGAACCCCAATAATTCAATTTTTGATGAAATCAAACAAAGTTTAATTTTGGACCCTTTTGACCTCAATATGAACCAATTTGATAGCGGGCCCACAAATAAAAAATCTAAATTCATGGTTAGATTCAGCATATCAAAGAACCCCATATATTCAATTTTTGTTGAAATCAAAAAAAGTTTAATTTTGGACCCCAACTTGGACCAACTTGAAAACTGGGCCCATAATCAAAAATCTAAACACATGTTTAGATTCAGCATATCAAAGAACCCCAAGAATTCAATTTTTGTTAAAATCAAACTAAGTTTAATTTTGGACCCTTTGGACCTCAATGAAGACCAATTTAAAAAACGGGACCCAAAATTAAAAATCTAAAAACACGGTTAGATTTGGCATATCAAAGAACCCCAATAATTCAATTTTCGATGAAATCAAACAAAGTTTAATTTTGGACCCTTTTGACCTCAATATAAACCAATTTGATAGCGGGGCCTACAAATAAAAAATCTAAATACATGGTTAGATTCAGCATATCAAAGAACCTCATATATTCAATTTTTGTTGAAATCAAACAAAGTTTAATTTTGGACCCCAATTTGGACCAACTTGAAAACTGGGCCCATAATCAAAAATCTAAATACATGTTTAGATTCAGCATATCAAAGAACCCCATATATTCAATTTTTGTTGAAATCAAACAAAGTTTAAATACTGGACCCTATCTTGGACCAACTTGAAAACTGGGCCCATAATCAAAAATCTAAACACATGTTTAGATTCAGCAAATCAAAGAACCCCAAGAATTCAATTTTTGTCAAAATCAAACTAAGTTTAATTTTGGACCCTTTGGACCTCAATGTAGACCAATTTAAAAAACAGGACCCAAAATTAAAAACCTAAATACACGGTTAGATTTGGAATATCAAAGAACCCCAATAATTCAATTTTAGATGAAATCAAACAAAGTTTAATTTTGGACCCTTTTGACCTCAATATGAACCAATTAGATAACGGGGTCCACAAATAAAAAATCTAAATACATGGTTAGATTCAGCATATCAAAGAACCCCATATATTCAATTTTTGTTGAAATCAAACAAAGTTTAATTTTGGACCCCAATTTGGACCAACTTGAAAACTGGGCCAAAAATCAAAAATCTAAATACATGTTTAGATTCAGCATATCAAAGAACCTCATATATTCAATTTTTGCTAAAATCAAACAAAGTTTAATTTTGGACCCTTTGGACATTAATGTAGACCAATTTGAAAACTGGACCCAAAATTAAAAATCTAAATACACTGTTAGATTCGGCATAACAAATAAATAAATGTGATCAAAGATTTTACAAATCTAATGCGCCATACTGTGCAATTAAAGATTACTTCTTGAAATTTTTCAATATTTGAAATTTGAAAAAAAAATAATATTTGAAGAATAATTCTTTTTAATTTCTGAAATCTGAAATGAGAAAAAATTGGCCCCCCACAATTTCTTTTTATCCCCCCCCTTTATCCCCAAAAAAAATTCTTTCCCTCAAGATATGGTCATAATCTCAATTCAAATTTCCAATGGAGTTGGCAACCATAATTACCCATTTAAATTTACCATAGTGCTAACTTAATCTATTTTATAATAGAATTAATAAAAATATAGTGTCAAATCTTTCATATGGATTTTTTTGTAAAAAAAAAAGATGAAAACATTTGCAGATATTTTTACTGGTCTTCCTTTATAAATATGCATTTCTTTAAACATAATTTAAAAGCAGTGTAAGGGAAGTAACCAAAACGTTGTATTTGGATTACCTCCCTTACACTGTTTTAGATTATCTTTATTGTTCATTAACCATTACTTTATACATAATTTAAAAGCAGTGTAAGGGAGATAATTTCAATGATGTATTTGATTTATCTCCCTTACACTGCTTTAAATTATGTTTTGTACTAAAGTATTTGTCCATTAACCAGGACAACCTTGTTTTTCCCCCTTTTTTGCCCCTAATTCCTAAACGGTTTGAGCCATAACCCCCCAAAGCAAATCCTAACCATCCCTTTGTGGTATGGAAACTTGTAGTATAATTTCAGAGAGATCCATACACCGTTCCACAGTTATTGTCTGGAAACTAGAAAATGCTCATTTTTGGCCCCTTTTTGGCCCCTAATTCCTTAACTGTTGGTACCATAACCCCCAAAATCAATCCCAACCTTCCTTTTGTGGTATTTAACCTTATGGTCAAATTTCAAAAAGATCCATTCACTTAAACTAAAGTTAGAGTGCGAAAACCAATATGTATTCGGACGACGACGCTGGACGACGACGACGACGCCGGACGACGACGACGACGACGACGACGACGACGCCAACGTCATACCAATATACGACCACAAAATTTTTTTGCGGTCGTATAAAAATTAATTTTATGGTTCAATAAATTCAAAATAAATAACAGTCATTCATTAAATATTTGAGAAATTATTTCTAGAATTTTTAAGTTGATATGACATTTATAATAGAATGTGTATTATACACATGTACAATGCAAACACATAAATACATTTTCTGTACATTTTACACATTGTTCAAGACAAATCTAAATATTAGATCAATATTGAAAACTATCACAATATGATGTCATGTCATTGAGCATGTTTTCATACAGAAATTTTCCTATACAGTCTCCATTCAACCCTCCCAAGATATGTGCAATAAATAAATAAATAGTACAAATTCATTTGCTATGACAATGATGGAGAGTTAGACACTTGATGCTGTTGAATGTTGTCGTGTTGCTGGGAATCGTTGGTACTAGTAATGTAAAAAGTCTGTGTCGAATGCTGCTGACCCGGTACACGTAGACCTGTCAGTGGGAATGTCAAGGACACTGGCTGCATGGACAGTTCCCCAGGAGCACCAGACTTGGCAATATTCAATGGCTTAAGAGCAAGCTGTGTGGTGAAGATCTGTCCACCACAGACCTGCTGACTGTTTGATGAGGCTATAACAGCATTAGTGAGAATGCCATGCTGAGGATGGATTGACTTGGGTTTATGATGCACCACACCTTGTGGTCTAGGGTTGGATTTGTCTGAAATTAGAAGAAAATATAATTTTAAAAGCAAACAAAGTTAGACTTAAACAATAAGCCTTCCTAATGTCAATTGATTCTTTACTTGATTGACACTTCAGTTTACACAGATTGGTAGATTTCTTGATTCTTAACCCAAGTATGTTGACAACTAGAGCTAAAACATAATAAGCAGAAAGTACCTGTCCAGTTTGTCAAGTAACAGCAGTTGGTTACTAATTTAGTGAGAAAAAAAAATTCATACAAAGTGAACATTCTGTAAAAGGGATTTTTAAAATCATTATCTTGTACCAAAGATAATCATGATAATTGAAGAGGTCATTTTTTGAGATATATGCAACATGCAATTCATGTTGTTCAGTCTTTAGTTTTCTATGTAGTGTTTTGTTTACTTGTCATCTTTTGTTTTTGCCATGGAATTGTCAGTTTCTTTGACTTGTCAGTTTTGAATGTCTTGTCTCTTAGAAATTTTAAATTCATTACAAAATCTTGATATTTTAGGCCATTTCAAAGCACTCTTCATAAGGTAAAAATATTTGGACCTGCCTCATTCTAAAATCCTTGTGTGAGGTTATCATGTGAAACAATAGGTCTTTCAATGTTGCCACTTTGATATCAAAAGCTAGTTGTTCTGTCATGTTTATTGTGTACTACTACTGATAAATATTAGATAAAATGTGAGTATTTTCTGGTTCTGTAGCATCTTACAATATCAGTATGCAATCAAGTTTTATTAATCCCAATACAATTGAACAATTTCAGACCACATCCAATTTATTTCTATTACTATATTGTTCTTTCTATCAGTGAAAAAGAAGAATAAGTGAGCAAAAATTTCTGTTTTACCTTCAAAATATGATACTTCTGATTCAGAATGTAATTAAAAATAAATTGCTTCGCCGAGCCCAGCTGGATACGACTGCAGAGGTCCAACCCTGAACAGTAGGGGCAATATTCGCGCTTGATACAGGTCTGAATTTGGATTGTAATTAGATATTTGACACATAAAAGGTTTCTGACACAGAATAACTGTAGTCAAAGAACTTAGAATTGGTTATATGATTTGAATTTATATTAAATTTTTTGCTTTTGTGCAATACACTTTGCTGTTGCAAATTGACCCCCCTCCCCTCACAAAAAAAAAATAAAAATTTACACCGCCTTTTTTTTTTGCTTTTGTGCAATACACTATGCTGTTGCGTAATGACCCCCCCAAATAATATTTGAAGAATTTTTCTTTCAAATTTCTGAAATCTGAAATGAGAAAAAATTGACACCCCACAAGTCCCCCCCCCCCCCCCTTTTTCCCCCAAAAAAATTCTTTCCCTCAAGATATGGTCATAATCTCAATTCAAATTTCCAATGGAGTTTGCAACCATAATTACCCATTTAAATACATCATAAAAGTCTTAAAATAGAAAATGACATACATAATCATGGCTAAAATCATGGCCCCTTATTCCTAAACTGTTAAAACCATAACCTCCAAAATCAATCCCAACCTTCCTTTTACAGTTATAAACCTTGTGTTTAAATTTCATAGATTTCTATTTAATTATACTAAAGTTATTGTCCTGAAACCAACTGTCTTTCGGACGACGCTGACGCTTGATACCAATATATGACTGCAAAATTTTTTGCGGTCGTATAAAAACTTAACATTGAAAATTGAACCACAAAAGTGAGGTCAAGGTCAAATGATACCTGCAAGGCAGACATGTACACCTTATAATCAATTCATGGACCATCAAAAACTAAATTGACCAAAAACTTTTAACCTGAAGCGGGACAGACAAACAGAAGCACAAACCGAAAAACATAATGCACCTCTACTATTATAGGTGGGGCATAAAAACACAAAAACTTAAAATTGACCAATGAACCATGAAAATGAGGTCAAGGTCAGGTGATACCTGTTAGATAGACATGTACACCTTACAATCATTCCATACAACAAATATAATTGACCCACTGCTTATAGCACTTGAAAAACAGAAAAAACACAAAAAAGTAACATTGACCATTGAACCATGAAAATGAGGTCAAGGTCAGATGAAACCTGCCAGACTGATATGTACCCATTACAATCATTCCATACACCAAATATAATTGACCTATTGCTTATAGTATTTGAGAAACAGACTGAATCATGTAACTTTAATCCATGAAATGAGGTCGAGGTCAGGTAGTTATCCTATTACTCATAACAAGTGAGAAATTCACATGACAAAAAAACTCAAAATTTTTTTTTCAAGTAGTCGCTGAACCATGAAAATGAGGTCAAGGACAATGGACATATGATTGAGGGAAACTTCGTAACATAAGGTATCTGCATACAAGATGTGAAGCATCCAGGTCTTCTACCTTCTAAAATATAAATCTTTATACAAATAGTTTACGCCATCGCCGCAGGATAGTAATACCTGTCTCGCATACTGCGACTTTCATCACAGGCGACACAACCACAGACTGCCTGAACTACTCACTTGAGAAAAATTGGGGTTGTTTTTTTCTACAGCTTTTTGATGGCATTCAGGTTAAATTAAGGGAACTAAATGATATTATTCATTCACATGCTTTCCACTTCATGAAAGACCAATGAAATGATTTGTAGAACTTAATTTGAATGCTTCAGTATAAGTTTTAACAGTTACTATATATATATCCATTTCTGTTTAAGATAATATTCATTACATTGAAATTTCAGAAAACATCATCTGTAAAGTGCAATAACTCTTTTATGGAGTCAATCAATGCTGCAATACCAGCATCTTTTTTAAAATCTTGTTTTGCTGATCATTTTTGTTATTTAATACAGTTTCTGTCCGTCTTTTTAACAAGCAAAAACAAATTAACATATCAGGACAAAACCTCCCATAAGGAGCCAGTAAATGATTTGAGTCATATTGGCATTTTTTAAAAAATCTTGTATTGCTGATCATTTGTGCTGTTGACAGATTTTTGTCCATCTAATATTGTTTTCGAGATCAGCAAAAACAGAAAAAATTGTCAAAAATCTTCATTTAAGCATAATAACTACTGTAAATTCAGAAATTATTGCGATGTTTTTATAATTGCGAAAAATGCGACAGGGTTATAATCGCAATAATTTGAACTCGCATTTTGAAATTTTGTATATGAATTAAACAGGATTTTTCTCAATATCGCAAAAATTTAAATCGCATTTTATTCTAAAATGACAAAATCGCAATAATAAATGCACGCAATAATTTCTGAATTTACAGTATTATATCATGTATATTGATCAAATGAATACTTTCAGTTGTTTTGCTATTATTTTAGATCTTGTACTGCTGATCTAATCCTTATCTAAATAAATCTAGGTTAGGATGAGGTTTAAACATGTTAAAAGAAAACATTTCTTGTCAACCTTTTACATCAGAGGATCTGATGAACTAGGTAAGAATATGGCCTGACCTCAAAATTATTCTTTTTAAACTAGTAAAATACATTTTTTTACTTCTCTGATGTAAGGCAAATGGAAATTTCACATTAGCATAATACATTTTTATGGGAAAAGGTCAAAGGAGACATGTTTGCATACCTGTGGATGATAAAACACCATTTGGGACAGATGTTAATGCTACATGACTGCTAACAGCTCCCTGAAATTAAAAATGTTCTCTTGTTAGGTTTAATCTATCAGGTTTGAAAAAGGAAAAGACAAGGTTTGAATACACTGTATATATATCAACAACAATGTATTTCAATACTAGTCATTGCTAGTATTATATCGTTTAAAAATACAATTTCTGATATTGCAAGGAATACAAATGTATTTATTCCAAAAATTTTTTTCTTATAATCTTTATGATCTTTGTTTAAATACTCAGAAAATAAAATTTTGCATTACAAATGCTTATTGCGCTACAGGGTTGGCAAAGTATTACCCAGGCAATACTCCCAGAAACATATATATATACAAGTCTAAATTGAAAACAACGTTCAAACCTATGATTGCGTTATATATTTCATTTTTACATAGTTAGAAAATGCTGACAAAGCAATTAATGTTTGCTACTTATTAAATTGTATACTTACTGGTTTAAGTGTATGTGAAGCTAAAATAGGTGTGGTCTGAGGTTGTGAGACATTGCTTGCTATTGAAACTACTGAACTGTTCGACATGGGCGCAAAGGTAACAGGGGCCAGAACGGTTGTCCCAGGCTGAACACCACCACCATCCACAAAGAACTGAGTCACTGGTATTAAATTACTCTTTTGCAAATTTTTCAACTGCTCAAGGTTCATAATCTTGTTTTTATTGACAATGTTGTGTTGTTGCAACATTTTATCGTCAATAGTCTGTGGGGCGGCAGTGAGATTAAGATATTGACCATTCACTATTGATCCATCTAGTCCTGTGAGGACAAGTCCAATATCCTTAAACAACTGATTGTTCTTTGGTTGTTTGGCATTGTTCAAATGACTTAGAGTTGTACTTGAAAGATTCACATTGGGTATTGCAATTAACGGGGTGTTGGTCTGACTATTGATTGTGATATTTCCCATAAAAGTGGGAGCACTAACTGTGTGCATCGTTGAATTTGAGGATACAGTTTGAACACTGTTTGGTAGTGTTGCTGAAGAAGTTAATATTCCGCTGCTGCTGCGTTTACGTTTGGCACTATTTCCAATGGCATTAATTATAGCACTATTTGTTGCATGTCCGGGGCTTTTTGAACCAGAGTTATCCTTCTGTTTATTATGTTTGCTACCACTCGATGACCGTGACTTGTGTTTAGTACTAGAATTGTCCATAGTATTTAATACTGTGTTAAAATGCTGCACTTGTGGGAACCCAGAAGCATCTACCGGTAATGTTGTTTGAAAATCATAGGGATCCTTGGCATTCATTGAAACCTGAGTATCCTTAGGTAGATTTGATTCAACACATCTTTTCCTGTAACATAAATTGTTAAACTGTATGACAATATATAGGTTTTTTGTTAGCTATCCCAATTGTATTATCTAATGATGGTCATAGGTAGGTGTAATCAGCAAAATTTCATAAATTCCTTTCATATTTTGACATGTATTAGTCTAGTCTGGAGGACGAATAATTTAAAAATCATTTTTGAAAAATATTATCTCATTCTGTTCTATTATTTGTATAAGCTTGGACAATTGTCTCATGAATTTTGCTCCATAATTTGAAATAAATGTGGATAGCGTCCACATGTGGACACAGATGATGCCCTCGCTTGCATATCATATAGTTATAAAGGGACATAACTGAAGAACGGTAAAGGTGACGCTACCCAAATTTGAACTTGATCTGAGTTTTGTGGTAAGAAGCATTGTGTGCAAGTCTCATAACATTTGGTTGAACCTAACTTAAGTAGAGAACAGAAACAAAAGTTTTATAACATTTGGTTGAGACAAACTAAAGTTACAGAAAGGAAACGAAAAATTCAGCAATTTTTATGTTTATAAAGGGACATAACTCAAGAATGGTAAAAGTGTCCCCACCAAATTTCGTACTTTATCTGTATTATGTAGTAATAAGCATTGTGTATAAGTTTCATAACATTTGGTTGAGGCTAACAAGAGTAGAGAACAGAAACTAAAAATTCAGCAATTTTTCTATTTGTAAACACGCATGACTCTAGAACTGTTGTGTATAAGTTTTATAACATATGGTTGAGACAAACTAAAGTTAGAGAATGGAAACGAAAAATTCAGCAATTTTTAAGTTTATAAAGGGACATAACTCAAGAATGGTAAAAGTGTCGCCACCAAATTTCATACTTAATCTGTATTATGTAGTAATAAGCATTGTGTTTAAGTTTCATAACATTTGGTTGAGGCAAACTAAAGTAAGAAAACGGAAACAAAAAGTTTGTACTTGATCTTAGTTTTGAGGTAATGAATATTGTGTATAGGTTTCATAATGTTTGGTTGGGGCAAACTTAAGTTACAGAATGGAAACTAAAAATTTTGCAATCTTTCGATTTATAAAGGAGCATTTACTCAATAATGGTTAAAGTGACACTACCCAAATTCAACTTGATCTGTGTTTAATCAGTGGAAGTCAAAATTAAAAATTGCATTGCATAAAGCATTGATTTTGTAGTTGATTCAACTATAGTCATGGACAAAGGAAGATAACTCCAATTTTAAAAATTACTTGATATTTAGAAGAAAATAAAAAAATTGCAATTTTTCCATTATAAAGGGGCATAACTCTAGAACGGTTAAAGTGACGCCACCAAAATTCAAACTTGATCTGTGTTTTGTGGTAATAAGCATTGTGTATAAGTTTGATAACATTTGGTTGAGGCAAACTTAAGTTAGAGAAGGGAAACCAATTTTGGGACGTACATACGTACAGACGGAAAACTTAATGCCCCCACCGCTACGGCGGGGGCATAAACAAAATTTTTAGGTTTCATAAATAACCATGCTCTATATAATATAAGGAGAACAAAACAACTTTCTCACATATGTTAAACTAAACTTTGAAAAATATTTCAATCTACCAGTAGATTAGGAATCAGTTTCACAATTTCAACAAGTCTATCCTTTCCGAAATAGAACATTCTTAAATTGAGTAGCTGTTTAAGCCATCTCAATCAGGTCACATCTATAAAGCAATACATTAGAATTGAGGGCACTGAATCAGGTCAAATCTACAAAGCAATACATTTAAATTAAGGACACCAAATGTATATTTTTTTTCTGTTTTGTTACTTACTTGGAAGGAGGAGGATTGAGATGTTTCTCCAGAGCACTAAGGAATGCAACACGAAACATGTCTGTCCTTCTACTGAATGTGTAACACCTTTTTCCTCCATTATTACTATGAGATCTAGCACCAAATGTACACATCTAAAAAAAGAAAGCAGAGATTATAGAACGAAGATGAAGATTGAAGAAGATATCTTTTGGCTTAAAGCATCTAAATGTATACATCTAATTGCTTTATTTTTAGTTTCATCATGGGTCATATCATAGAAAAAGTAAGCTCAAATGTGAAAGCTGAAAAAAAAATTCCTTCTGTGTGGAAAAAACATTTGCACAAAACTCTTTATACCTAAACAATGTTCAGTGTTCTCCCCAGGCCGCTATGACTCTGAGGTCCCACAGCACCTTTAAAATATGTTTGTTGTAGCCTCAGCGCTTACAATGGCACACAGTTCCTTAAAAGATAAACCTGCAGCCTGTTGATTTTCTTATTTGATTATGAATTGTTGACAACTTTTTATTTGATCAACTCCAGTCTATCCTTTACTTGTATTTGCCATATCACAGGGTGTAATTGCATAGATTATCATTGAATAGATAAAATGTTTTTCTTGAACACCATTTCAGTTTTTCAGGGTTTTAACTTCGATTAAGGGAAAAGATCAAAATACAAATAAAAAACACTTTTATGCATGGCTTTCCCCGAGTAATTGCAGAAATAAATATAGAATTTTCTCATTGGTGAATAATATAAATATATTTTAATACGACCAATGGACATGATAAAAACACTTGGTAACTTTGCAATACAGAACTACAAATATTTATGAATGGAAGTTGTTTCACATAAAAAAAAAAAGTAGAGCAAACAAATATTTATGATAAAATCATAATGTGAATCAATTATTAGAGTCAGAATAAGAAATTTTGTTTTAGCAAAAAAAAATCGTCTTTTTCATGTTTAAAAAAAAAATAAATCAGTTGTTTCTATTTTTGGTCCTTGCACAGGAAAACTATGACAATAACCAACTCGATGTCAATAGTTAGGTACAGAAATGCAGAAACATATGTATAATGTCACTGGTAAATAATTTTGTGAGACTTTACTTTGAAGAATTTGTCAGGATTCTACCTGCCAAAGAAAGGATCGTGACAAATAAACACGGAAACAATCTTGAAATGTCAATTGCAGAAATTGGGCAGCTGTTCATTTTAATTCTTTTGTTTTAAAAATTTGTATTCCAAAAGTTACAAACTGCTTCATAACACAATATCTTTAGAAGGAGCAGATGCACCAGACATGGACATATCTAAAGCTGTTTAGCACTGTAAGGCTCAAAAGAACAGGATAATATTCTTTTTAAATTACTAAATTTGGACTCTTAAATTGAATTATAACTCTATACTGTGGATTCATTTATTTTCGTGGGTACCAATTTTCTTGGATTAAGGAAAACTTACATATTCGTGGATATTTAATTTCGTGGTTTTGCCGAAGTTTGCATACAAGCTGATGGACAATTTGTCATTCGTTGAACATTTAATTTCGTGGTTCACCTGTATCAACGAAATCCACAAAAATTGGTATCCAACGAATAATAATGAATCCACAGTAAATGGACTGTGATATCAATATGACCAATATGTTTTAAATGTGTGTAAAATGATTATATGTTATTTTATGATAACTCATAAATAGTGTTCTTGTCTGTCATAAAACTTTTAAATTCATACTGTATTTCTGAAGAATTGTTTCGCCTCACAATAGTTCTAAAATAAATCGGGAATGTGTCCATGGGACACAGATGTTGCACCCGCTTGCATATCATATAAAGTTATAAAGGGACATAACTGAAGAATGGTAAAAGTGACGCTACCCAAATTTGTACTTGATCTGAGTTTTGTGAAAATAAGTATTGTGTATAAGTTTCATAAAATTTGGTTGATGCAAACTTAAGTTAGAGAACGGAAACGAAAAAATTCAGCAATTTTTCCATTTGTAAAGGGGCATAACTCTAGAACAGTAAAAGCGACGCCACCAAAATTCAAACTAGATCTGTATTTTTGTGGTAATAAGCATTGTGTATAAGTTTCATAACATTTGGTTGAGGCTAACTTAAGTTAGAGTACAGAAACACATTTTGGGACTACGTACGTACAGACGGACAAGGGTAAAACTTAATGCCCCCTCCGCTACGGCAGGGACATAAAAAAAAAGGTCACACCCTACATATCTTTGCGCCTTCAAAATTTCAGGGGAGAACACTGTTGTTCATGGTATAGTAATACTCACAGCAGCAGGTCTTGGATGATACGGTAGATATATACTCTCCTGAACATCATCATCCTCTACTCTGTCCGGGAAATCTGGAGGTTTCAAATCATCTCTAGGACTTGGAGTGGAAAATGAATGTAAACTAGACAAACTTGATCTGAAAATGAATCATACATCCTACATAAACCTGAATTAATATCAATAACTCAAATCAATTATTTTTTACAAAATGGTACAGTTGTTATGCTCTTATGAAGACATAAAATGCCAGATTTTACAGCATTTTACAATTAAGGGACACTGAGGCAACAAGTCAGGAAGATAATGTTCTTCATGCTATATCTTCAATTCACAATTGTGATACTCAAGTTTAATGCAAGATGATACTGTTGTAAAGCAATATGATAGGAGAAACCACTCATTTGAAAAGAATGAGTTACAGCAGATTTCATTGAGTGTGTAGGGAAAGGTAGAATCCTTGGTTAGCTTGCTTGTTAGCTGAACCGTGAAGTCATTATTAGGTTAGGTAAACTACCCTCCTTTAAGAGTAGACTTGTCCGACAGATAACCAATTTATCTGTCTGTAAGACTAGACTACTTCGAAAGGAGGGTAATATACCTTACCTAATAATGACTTCACGGTTCAGCTAACAAGCAAGCTAACCAAGGATTCTACCTTTCCCTACACACTCAATGAAATCTGCTGTAAACATCACAATTTGTTCTGCCATCTTGATATACAAAGTTAGAAAACTAATTTGTGACAACTAATTTGTGACTTGATTTTTCTTTTTTACATGAGATTTAGCTGGAGACAACAATAAAATTTTTATGACACTGAATATGATTTTTTTTACAGAAGGTCAAAAGAGAAACATAAATTAACATTTTAACATTATAACCAAGGTAATAAACTATTTGTCATATTTTAGTTAACACAATGACAAATAAAAGCCTGAAAATCTCACAGTACCAAATCTTTGCAAAAACCGGACTATCAAAGGATCATAATACTAAACTTACCTATGAGAATGTAAACTGTTAGGTTTAACTGGCTTGAAAATGGGAATATGTGAGTCCATATGTCCAGAAGTATTCTCCTTTTCTACCTTAATCTGATTGTGTTTAATGGGTAAATCTGGGACTGTAGGGGTACCAGCTTGCAATGCTGATGCTCCAGTCAGACCTAAAGCAGCAGCTTGTTTCATCTCTTCTTTCTGTTTAAGCAACAGTTCTTTAGCAGCTCTATGCTCTTTCAGTAACTCATCAAAAGGTTTCCTTCTTCCAGCAACTTGTCTTCTCTTTGAAATAGCATGTGTCTGAAAACAGAATTTTCAATTAGAAATGAATCCTGTTTTTTTCCTTCAATTAATACAAAATGAAGCAAGTGACCATTACATTTTGCATAAAGTGCAGAAGTGCTTCTTGCTTAAACTGTGAGTGTCACTTGCGTTTATTTCTTAAATTTTTTTAAAAACACAGCATTCAATTCTTTTATCAGCATGATCAGTCTGAAGCCTGGAATCAGATGTCGAGTGTCTTGTGTTGATATGTTTGGGTTTTTTATTACTTATTTTGCATTTGCTTTAAATTTTCAGATCTAATATAATCTGTTTTACTAACAAATTAATATTTTATGAATCTTCTTCAGTTCTCCCTATTAAGGTGTGCTTATATTTGATAATGTTAAACCTTGCAGATTTCTCTGGAATATTCTTCGGTACATCTACCCTATTCTCTTTCATTTATATTAAACATACAACATAACTGAACATTTTTTGCCAAGGAAATAAACCTTTCATAAGAAGCAGTTAATGTTGGTTATGGTATTCAATTTCTTGGAAGGTGAACTGTCCCGTTGAATAAATACAATACTTAAGTGTCGTCTGTGGAGTTTAAATTTCACCTTGAAAAACGATTAATGTACAAAAAAAATTACAGTTAAGCTGTATCTATCAGAGTTTTTAACTTGATTTGGAAAAGCAAGCCAAGTTTTCAGACCTGTCCAATAATATAAATAGTTTAATGTACCTTGCAGGTGAGTGACCTTGTACAGGGTTTACTATCTTCTCCATTCACACCACAGTGTTTATTTGGATCATATTCTCGATCTGAAAAAAAAAAAAAACACATTAAAAAAATATGTTTGTTTTTCAACTCAACTGAACCTTACTTTCAGTTTATATTTCTATCAATATGATTAAAGCTGTTGAATATTTGTATTTGTAAAAATCATTGTTTTGGTGCGACTATATTCTGGGCCTCTGGCATGGCAGTAATATCAAGTTATAATTGTTGAAAAGAATGTATTTAAAGAACTTATTATGTTGTGCCATCACAAATGATCCAATATATAATTAAATTATGAGATAATATTATCCATTTTATAACTTTGTTGTCAATTTCATTATGTGTTATGAATATATGAATGTATTGTGTATTGTTGTCATTGTTTCCCTTTATAGGAGTCCATAACTGGAAATAAAAGAACTTTAAACGTGTACACAAACTTTATGAAAACTGGTACCCAATCCCATTGAGTCTACACGATAGATACAAGATTTTAAATATGACTTTGTACCTTTACATGGTATACATTTATCAGACTTCACAGTTGATCGAGGGTACTTTTTCTTGCTGCTGCCACTTGCACTGCCAATACTGGTACTACTGCTAACACTGCTGTTTAAACTGTGACCACTAAAACTGTTTAAACTTGTACTACTATAACTATTAAGACTTGTATTACTAAAACTATTAAGACTAGTAACACTGCGACTGTTCATGTTGATTGGCTTTCTATCACTTAATAAGTGACTTTTCAAACTTGAATTTTCAACATTCGTTTTAGTCCTATTTACAACATTTGCAGCACTAATACTAGGTAATTTTGTATCACTTAAGCTAGACAATTTCTGTCCCTTCAAAAGGGCAGCCCTCTGAAAATTGTTTTTCAAGCAAGTATCACTAACACTGTAAAGACTAGATGAATACCCCTCATCAGAACTTCTATCTTCTATTTTGACTGGATTTAGATCTAGATCTTTGATCAGTTCTCTGTCATAGTCATGATCCTCATCATCTGCCTCTAAGTTCTGAAGATTCTTTATATCAAGATCAGTTTTACATGGCTTTCCAAAGCTCATATTACTGAAATTGATTGTTGCAGACACTTGTGGTGCCAAATGAGTAGTTGTCATGGTGGTAGTAACACATGTGGTTGTGGCTGTTGTCAATGTGGGTGTTGCTATAGAAACAGAGGGAGTTGTATTTGTCAAAAACAATACATGTGTAGTTGACTTTGGAGGAGATATTGGTCTTGAAGTAAAAGTTGACTTGAAATTTGGAGGCACAGTTTTCGTTTTCGTTGTGACTGTCGTTATTGCAGTTAATAGTGGGGGGTTTAGATTTTCAGACTTGGTGATTTTAGCAGATAACTCTGTTTTGGGAGGAGATGGTGTTAGTGCTTTTCTCATTTTTTGTTCACAAACTGAATTCCCATTAGTTAATGGTGAAACATCTTTAGCCACCTTAGATGGGGTCACTTTTTTAACATCCATTTTGTTCACATTCATTCTTTCTACTTTGACTACTGGCATTGTATGATTGCGTTTGCTCTTTTCTGGTCCTTTGAGTCTTGCATTAAGTTCAGCTCCCAATTTCCTTGCATTACTTATAGATGGAGGTATTTCTTTCATACTGGCTTTGGTTGGAACAGACAATCCTTTTTTCACTGAGCCAGACTTTGCTGGTGAGGCCTTTAGTGAGCAATTTGGAGGTAAAGTCTTTGCTTTTGTCTGTCCAGACATTGCACTTGTTTCACAGTGTCTGTTACCTGAAAAATGAAATATGAAACTTCAAATCAATCATGACTACATGTAAAAAATAAACATCAAACGTAAACAAATGAAATATGCAAACAGAGCTGTTTTTTTAAGTAAGATGGTAAAAGGTATTTCACAGACCTGCATTCCTAAGCAAACTGTTAATAACAGAAAAATGCTAGAGAAAATAAAATGTTCCGTGGGGCTCAGCTTGATATGACAACAGAGGTTGGACACTGAACAGTTGTGGAAAGTATGGTGACTACATTCATGCTTGATACAGCTCTGAATTTGGATTGTGATTAAACATTTGACACAGCATAGGTTTCTGACACAGAATAAATTTGGCCAAAGAACTAAAAAAATTGACGTTATACTTTTACCAATCATGGTTTAATATCCAAAATATAAATACACAGTTAGATTCAGCTTATCCAAATACATCAAGTATTTAATTTATCAATTCAATAATGGTCAATATTAGGTGAGTTTTTAAAGGGGTTCACTACAAAAAATATATATATACAGCATTCTGAAAATTAATTTATACAGAATAACAAAGTTCTTCAAAAATTTACAAAAAAAAAACCAATTTCCAAAATATCATTCACCATTAATACAATGTCTTTACAAAATTTATAAAACTTACCTGTAATAATTTTTCAAGATTTATATATAATTTCTAAATTTAGAATTTGATGTTATATCTATTTTTAACTATGAATCTACTAACTATTTCTATTAATTGTGCCATACAGCTCTGAATGTGGATTGTGATTTAATATTTGACATAGCATAGGTTTCTGACACAGAATGAATGTGGTTATGATGGTCTAAGAAAATAAAAATTTGAAATTGGACATTTACCTACTATGGTTCAATATCCAAAATCTAAATACATGGTTAGATTCAGCATATCATAGAACCACAAGAATTTAATTTTTGATGAAATCAAACAAAGTTTAATCTTGGACCCTTTGGACCTCAATGTGGACCCAGTTGCTTACAGGGCCCAAAATCTAAATACACAGTTAGATGCAGCATATCAAAGAACCCCATATCTTCAATTTTTTTTGAAATCAAACAAAGTTTAATTTTGGACCCTGATTTCGACCATCGTGAAAACTGGGCCCAAAATCAAAATTATAAATACATGGGTAGATTCAGCAGATCAAAGAACCCTTCAAATTTATTTTTTTAAAAAAATCAAACTTAATTTAATTCTGTAGACCCTTTGGATCTTTATGTGGACCAATTTGAAAACCAGGCCTAAAATCAAAAATCTAAATACACGGTTAGATTCAGTATATCAAAGAACCTAAAGAATTATTTTTTTATTGAAATCAAACAAAGTTTAATTTTGGACCCTTTGGACCTTATTGTGGTCCAATTAGAAAACGGACCCCAAAAATTAATAATCGAACTACACAATTAAATTCAACATATCAGAGGACCCTAAATCTATATACACGGTTAGATTTACCATACAAAAAAAAACTCAAGAATTCAAGACTTTGAATTAACCCACATTGAAATTGGTCAAGAAATAATCAACTTATACCTGTATAAGAAAAGCATTGTTTTTGGCCCCTTTTTCCTATTTTTAGGGCCATAACCCCCAAAATCAATCGCAACCTTCCTTTTTTTTGGTATGAAACCTTGTGGTACAATTTCATAGACTAAGAGATTCATAGACTTATACTCAAGTTATTGTCCTGAAACAAGAGAATGCTTGTTTTTTGGCCCCTTTTTCCTAAACAGTTCGTACAATAACCCCCAAAATTAAATCCCAACCTTCCTATAGTGGTATGGAACCTTGTGGTACATTTACATAGAGACCCATACACTTATACAAAAGTTATTGTCTGGAAACCAAATGTGTTCCAACGCTGACAACGTCATAACATTATACAACCGCGAAAATTGTATAAAAAACTAGTTTTTGAAGCATTCAATAAATCATGCAAATAAGGCCAATGGACAAATATAACTAACATACAGAACATTTGGAACATAAGGCATCTGTTTACAAATTATGAAGGATTCTGGCCTTGCGGTCATAAAACTTTCAAGCACGATAATTGTACCCAGACGCAGAAATCAACCAATCAAAATACTGGATTTGGTGTTTCGAGCACAAATTTTGTACTCCGAGTACTGAGTAAAGTTTTATGACTGAGGGCCCAGGTTTTTTACCTCTTGAAATATAAAGCTTTATAAAAATAGTTTTGAAATCGCAACAAGATGAGCATTCTTATGCCTCCAATTCTGAGACTTTTGTATCAGGCCAGACAATAACTGATCAGTAGATTTTTCTTTGAAATTTATATGCATTTGATACACAAGTTGAACTAAGATTTTGACCATGACTATGTAGTTTTTTTTTCCATGAAAGCTAAATGCTCTAGTTGTGGTGAAAAGGAAAGTCAAGTATCATCTCCAAACTACCTAGACACACTAGATTGAACATCGAAGATGTATTAGTGATTAACTGGTTATATTCTTGATGCTTGATATACTCTCAATAACATATTGTGACGGTGGTCTAACCACAGGAGCAATTTAACTTTGAATAACCAACAGACTCAAAAGGTGAACTTTACTTACGAAGATGTATGTTAAGCGCTTGTGGCTTTAATACTTTATTACACTTCTCGCACTGCACAAGAAAAAACTCATCCTGTGAAGGACACACTCCAAACAATGCACTATCTGTAAGAAAGAAAACAAACTTTATAAAAAGCAATGGAAAAGATATGTCATCTTGTGGACTACATACTCCATTGACCAAACAATGCACTACATGTATCTGTGAAAATAAATTAATTATATGAAATTCTGTATAAACCTTATACAACAATTACAGATACTGAGAAATTTCAGTAAATTTTCCAAAAGACAAAATTTTAAAATAAATATCTGTTTCTTCCTCTTAACCAACCATATGTTTGACATCCAATACATTCTACTGTCTTGCTCAAATTTTTTTTTCTCAAGAAATAGAGTTTTGAGTTGTTCAAGTTGACTACAATTACTTTCTCTGCTGACTTATTCAGAGGATAAAACTGACCATTATTAAGCAAAAATGGTTGACATATCAATGGAATTCGAATTAGAAGCACATGGATGTGTACTGTAAATTTGGATTGAAAACTAAAGTTGAGATAAAACAGGTGATTTTTTTATTTTTCTTTGAAAGGGAAACAAACAAAAAAGAAAAAGCATGTATATAGATTTAAACAGATAGTAGCTACGATTTTCATTAAAATTATTTTTCTAATCTATATGCCGGATTTTGTACAAAAGGTTTATTTAGAATGAATAAAACCATCACTGTTTACTTTCCAATTAGCATTTAGAAGCTTTTCAACGTTTTACACCTGAATTTAATTTTTGTCTATCATGTCTATAGACAAAAATTCGATGTTAAGCCAACCCTTATTCATATGACCTATGTTGACCTTAACTCCGCAGTTCCCAATGCGCAATCGCAAGTTGTCCCTCGAAGGGAAAATGTCGAACAGAGGAATGTTATTGCGGAAATGAAACGTGTGTTTACAGTTTCTGCGAGAAAAAGAAACAGTAAAGAGGTGCAGACAAGTTATTGTAAATTGAAAATAAATAACGGCGATGAGATCAGTCATTAGAATCATTTACAAACACCCGTCACGCAGAAAAAGTCATTATATAAGCAGTCGACATTACGACGGTTTGCGAAATGTAAAAAACATTTCTGAACTTTTCGAATCCAGATCACATGAAAATAAATCGCAACCTGTTCAAATCATTATTGTCCAAAATATCTTTATAAATTTAAGATGATTTCACATTTAGAAGACATTTAAATCAACTTCTTACAATTTAATATTATTCTTCCGGTGTACCCTGCATGAAGGCCCCAATTCAATTCACAAACACGTGTATACGTTATCGGCATTGTTTTGTCATACAAATATAAAACAAGTGTATAATATCGCCATTGTTGGAGAACCTTGGGTTCGAATAATATGCAGGCATTTGGTATATTTTGTTGTATACATAATTTGATAAATGGTTTCAAATATGTACATTTAATCTAAAGAAATTGTCAAATACGTAAGAAAACAAAAGCACATGTTCATATTTATTTATATCTTGGTCATCTCACTCGCTGTGTCTGCAAAGTTCGGGAAGTAAACCCGATGCATAATTAATGAGATGAAAAGGCACGCTACACGATATTAATAATCAATTATTAACACTTCTGTACTTTATCATGTTTATATAAACATTCCACCAATCTTATTGTTAATTTAAAGTACATATCTTCGATTTTAGCAGCTTTAAAACTTGGTCATAATTTTGTCAAAATCGTAGCTACTATCCCTTTAAAAGTGCATAACTTTGGTTTTGTTTTTTTTTCATATTATTCTTGCAGTGTTAAAGAATGACAGTAAAATGTATTATCTTGGCATGCTTAGTACCAGAAACAACAAAATTACTACTTTAGCCCCTTTGAAAGAACTTGTAAGCTTGACAGCTACAAAGAATTTTAGAAACAAAAGTATATAAATCAATGGTGAATAAATAAGAAACAATACATGAACAGGCTCCAAAATTAAAAGTCAAAACCAATTGTGTCATCTTTTGCTAGATTGTAACCAATGTGAAAAGCACATCTAAAACAAGATGTGTCATCTTTTTTTGTTTATTCTGATCTTTTTTATTTAAAATTGGGATTGAACTACATATAAAAGATTCATAAACGAATCTCCATGTCAAACTACACGTTCCAGTCCATGTGTATAAAGTAAGTTTGACCATCTTTTGTGACCAATGTTATTACCTTCAACATTCAGTTTCATACTATCACTGTCGTCAGTAGCTTTAGATTCAGTGCTTTCACCACCTGAATCTGAAAATATATAAGAATTTATTTTGACATTTGTCAGGGAAATTTTGAAAGTAGAGAATACACTGCCTATGGAAAAGTTTTGAACATTCAGAAATATGCTATAGCTAATGGACAATATATGAATCATTCAAACGATGATATTCTATTCTCACCACTATAAGGTGGGGAAGGCACAGTATTGGCCCATTCGGACCATGGTTGGCCCGCAAAATGCGACGGACTACTGTCCAGGGTCGCCATTTTGCAGTTTTTCTTGTTGCTTTCTGCCAGCCCGAAAACCTCCGATGTTTTGTGACGTCAAAGAGGGTTACACTAATGACTGGACCGAATGACAGGACCGAATGACAGGACCAAATGAAAAATGCTAATAACTTTTTTATTTTTCATAGGATTAATTTCAAATTTCACATATAATAAGATTTCATCATTTAATATATAAATTTAAAAAGAAAAAATTATATTTTTTTTCAAAAGCTTGCGAAAACGTGACCTGACCTACGATGACAATGACAGGACCAATATCGAGAATGACAGGACTAAATGAAAATGCTAATAACTTTTTTATTTCTCGAAGGATTTGTTTCAAATTTGAAATTTAATTAGATTTCAACATTTAATACATAAATATAAGAAAAAATAGAAAAAAAAATATTAAAGCTTGCGAAAATGTGACTTGACCAACGTTGACATTGACCTGACCAATATCGACATGACCTGACCGATGAAAAGTCCTAATGTTCTGTTATTTTAATAACAAAATTAGAAAATTGTTAAATTTTGATCATGAATAACTAAGAAATTACTAAATAATCAGAATGGGGTAATAAACTTGACTTGACCAACTTACGTTGACTGTGTCATAATTAACCGTTATCATGACAAGGAAAGATGACTAATTACATATCTATATGTAAAAGTATTTACTTCAAATTTTTCGAAATATTAAGATTTAAACCATTCATTTTATCAAATTTAAAAACTATAAAAAAAATCCTCCTGATCAATGTTCTTATTATTTTCAAGTCCAGACAAATCTAAATTCAATTCTAAAGTCCAGAATAGTTTAATTCCTATATCAAATTTGTGTATAATCTAAATACTGATTCTGTAAAATAATTTTAACTGTTTTGCTAGCATTCTGCATGACATTTATAGTCATCCCAGGGTACAGGACGAGGACCTAGCTAGCAGTGTACCCCACCCTGAAATAAAGAAAAAATAAGTAGGATTACACATGCAAATAGATAATTAAAAATGTACTTGTAAAAAGAAGATATAAAAACTGAAAACTTTAAATTATAGATCACAATAAAAAAAAAACTACGTCTATGTTTGAAAGCATTTAAATCAAAATTATGTGATAGAAATTATCTTACCTAAAAAATAACTGAAAGGTAATGCATGTAAACTATTATCAAACATATTTACAAACGAACATTTATAGACTTTCGGGAAAATTTAAAACTAAGAAAGATATCCTGCACAAGGCTCGGGCATACCTCAAGTAGTCCGCGAAAATGTTTATTTATTTTTTATGTAAATATTTTAAACTACCAAGACATCCTGCACAAGGCTCGGGCATACCTCAAGTAGTCCGCGAAAATGTTTATTTATTTTTATGAAAATATTAAAACTACCAAGACATCCTGCACAAGGCTCGGGCATACCTCAAGTAGTCCGCGAAAATGTTTATTTATTTTTATGAAAATATTAAAACTACCAAGACATCCTGCACAAGGCTCGGGCATACCTCAAGTAGTCCGCGAAAATGTTTATTTATTTTTATGAAAATATTAAAACTACCAAGACATCCTGCACAAGGCTCGGGCATACCTCAAGTAGTCCGCGAAAATGTTTATTTATGTTTATTAAAATATTTAAAACTACCAAGATATCCTGCACAAGGCTCGGGCATACCTCAAGTAGTCAACGGAAATAACTATTTACTGATATGAATTTAAAATATTAAAAAAACCTATATATGATGCTAATTACTGTAATCACAAACTATTTTGGATTTATCAACTTATTTATGGCTTATTTCACACCTATTGTTTGTTACTTTATAATTGTAAATCAAACGTGTCAAATCATGACCGGTAATGTACAACAAAATTTACAACACAGTTAGATACAATATACTACTATAAATACAATAAAAAGTTCAAGTAACACGGTGCTCGTCACAGTACCAATCTTCTAAAACTCCTGAACATGTCTGATGAACCCACTTAGCACAATTGATTCTTCCACGTTTTGCCTCACATCCTATCATGTTCTCAAAAACGTCTGGTTTGCCACATTGACAGTTACTTTCAATCCTTCTTGCATATATTCTCACAAAATCTGAACTTGATGTAATTCCTTGAGGAAATGGTGTAAAGTGACCTTTTTCTAAACAAGAAATTAAATGCGGTCTCATATATTTCTCAATAAAGTTGGTACGTCTCTGTGTGTTGAATTTTCCTTTATCACAATATTCCATCATGTTGGCAATAGCATACACACCACAGTCATATCCGTTTGTTTGCTGTTGTACGTCAGGTAGTTTTACCAGTAAGTTCCTTTTTCCATGACCATAAATTGCTGACAACTGAATTTCCATCGAAGGTGTAAGTTTAAACTCTGTACTTTTACTGTCTAACACATAAACGGCACTTTCCTTTTTAGGTTGAATAGATGTTACCCAGTGCGACTTTCCTGTATGATGAACTTGAACACACGGTGTATCCTTACTGCTGAAATTCCCGAAACTTTCAGCCCAGCACTGTTTGTCTTCATCGTAAATTGGCGATAATCCTGTCGGTTGAAATCCAGATATATGTGGAAACTGTTTCGCTATCATATTTATACTTACATTCACAATTTCGGAACATAACCATGAGTTATTCTCCAGCATAAGTTTGTGTTCAGAATTTAAACTAGAAATCCAAGGCGTATAACTGGTGTTCTTCACGTCTGTATTAACTTTACGTTTTTTCATAGGTAGTTGACAAGACTTGGTACTCGTTGGAGACACTGTATCCACAGAAAATTTCAATATCTTTCCTTTTTTTGGTGTCGCACAACTATCAGTATCCTGTTCCTTGGATTTGAATTTAAGTTTCTTTCTCGATTTCGGGGTTTCTGTTGTTGATGATTGCCTTCCTGGTGTTTCTGGCATAACAGACGGAGCACTTTGTTCAACTATTTCGGAGTCTGGAGCTGGTATAACTTCATCATAATCATTTGGTCGTGGTTTTTTCCTTCCTGACTTTTTGTCGTTCCTTTTCAAATTTCTCTTCGAAAGCATTCTAAGATTCATAATTTTCGGTTTATTCTCACTTTCATCACCTATGAATATTTTCGCTGCCATTATATGATAACACTGCGTAGTCGATGGACACTGACATGTTTCTTTCGGCAGTAAGGTTACAGCATACACAGTACCTTGGGTTCCCTTCACCATAAATGCTTTCTGCTGTTGCACAAATGTAACATTGCCATTTTCGACTGTTAGACGGGCTAGCGATTTTTGTGAAAGATTCGTATCCTTAGAAATCACCACATTCGGAACGTCTTCAGACGACACACTATGTTCAGAGTCGGGAACATTACTATGAATAGTCGGACATTGCTCAGTGGTAGCATCACTTTTAATATCCACACTTTGTTCTTCACTTTCGAATGGCACACTTTCAGATATATTTTCGGATTCTTCATGATCTTTTTTGACACATTCTCCTCTTAACGAATCTATTTCCGACATCACATGTTTCACTATATCATCGGGTTTAATAACACGTTTCGGTATGCAAATTTCGTCTTTCGGAATGCGTGCATGAATAAATTCTGGTCTCAAACGGTAATTTCCCACTCCTGCTAATCCTCTCTGAATTTCGGTAAAGTAGTAACACTGAAGGTAGTACATGGATAACACAAAGCAATCAACGGGAAGCTCCTTATACTTGTTCAGTCGTTTAATAACGGCATTCATACTCTCACACGGATTGTTAGTAACTCCAGAAAACGGATCATAAAGATTATCATACTTACTGATTATCCACTTTCCACAATGATATAATATATCCTTTTCAATTTTGTTGAAGTATGTAACAAACGGTTTGGACCACTTCACTATTAGCAACTGCTTTTTCTCCTTGAATTCTTCATCACTATCACAACGCAGTAATTCCCTAATATTAGATAGATAAAAGGCAATGTTTGTTTGATCGGCACCCATCTTCTGTAGGTTAAATTTGGCATCACCAATCAAATGGTTCCAACACATTATGATATCGCAGTTCGGGAAATTCTTTTCTATTGCATTTGATAATCCTGGTTCACGGTCAGTCACAAACGGTACACACTTCCTATTTAACTTTGGAAACACTGATGACACAAAATCGAAAAATTTCGAATGAACCTTTTCTTTTTTCCTTCCATGTATGAGAAATGCTACTGGCATGATAGGGCGATCCTCAAATATGATATTACGGAACACAAGAGGAGACACATAAAAATCTCCGAGTTTAAATGTTGTATCGTAGAAGAATAGAAACGGTTGATCATCTTCAGTATTTACGTCCAGTAGCTGATTAACTATCGATATCAACTCCGGTAAAGCTATTATAGAAGTTAAGTCAGGGAACACGGTAATTTCTTGAATATAACCCTCCATGTGGTAAGCTAACAACATCAGATTGTAAATGTCATCTTTACTAATTCTCTTCTGTTCGTTCACTTTTCGCACGATATTTTCAACTTGTTTAACGTTTCTTGCGTTCATTACACCTTGTTGTACACCAGGAATATCACTATTTGAAATACTGTCTCTATACACATCCATAGCTGTTTTGCCACCTGTTTGCACAACTTTTTCTATTGCTTTCAACACTGAGGGAGCTGTACGAACATATTCCGGTGCATTATCTCTTTCTTTTCGGTTTCCATGAGTTAAAGGAGTATACACATTCTCGTCACCTTCATAATGCACTAGCACTAAATTCTTCTTGTCTTCGAAGTAAAATGCTGTTCTTCTGAATTCTAATGAACCAACTGGTCTGCTCCTCTTACCTGATTGTTGACTTATAGAACCTGGTTGTTTTATCTTAAAATATTTCTTTTCTAGCACAGCACTACCAATTGTCACTTTTTTTAACCCATATTGTATCCACGGATATTGGTCACACTTCCAATCATCGGAGTTTTCACATTTTATTAAATAGACCTCGTTGGCTTTCGGCTTTGCTGGTGGCATGTCTGAAATACAAGATGTTTCAGGATTACTCAAAATACTTACAATGTCATTGTGATAAAGCTGCTCTGTTACGGTGTAAAGTGTCACACCACCACCTACTAAAATTCGTGAAGGAGAGTTAGAAATAAAAGCATGTGAACTATTAGAAGTGGTAGCAGGTGAACTGTTAGGAGCGGAAGGTGAGCGGTTAGAAGTGGAAATAGGTGAGCGGTTAGCAGTGGAAACAGATGAGCGGTGAGAGATGGAATCATGCGATCGGTTAAAGATGGGAGCAGGTGAAGGATTAGAAGTGTTAATAAGTGAAGACACAAGACAACATACCTCTGGAAGAGCAGGCCACTCTTCAATTACCTGAGTGTCAGCCGACACCTTTGGAGTTGGTGCTGGTGGAAGTGCTGGTACTGGTGTAGTGAGTAGCGCTCTCTTGTACGGTGCTAGGTCAAAATACTTGCCCTTGGCCTGGGAATGGCCAGCAATCATCACTGGAAATGAAGACATAATTAGAATTGAACAATATGAAAAACAAACAAAATATATCCTAACACTATTCTTTATCTGAAATTATTAACACTAAATATACTATTTTATATTAGTCTTTTCTAAATTAATTACAAAAATAATAAATACTTTAAAGTAATACAAAAATATTTGATATAAAACAATATAGCAATTCGAAATGATAAAAAGCACTGTGGTTGTATAGCACTATGAAAACTTATGAAAGGGAAAAAAAAGGCCACACATTTATAACTATATGAGTTCTTTTAATTAAGTTCACTCAAATTTTAAAAGCTGACCAAGTTTCCTTTATTCTTTTATTGAGACAATGATCACCAATTATCCTTCTAATCAGTAGTTGATTGCACTGAATGTTTATTGATATTAATTGGATTAACAAGCCAGTAATCAAATCAGATCTAATCTCATTAAGCTGATAATTAGATTAGTTTCGACAACGTGTGCATTGGTCAGGTCACGTTTTTTAACCTCTAAACTATTTTTTCCACAGTGTTTTTTTTTTATTTGATAATTAACTGTACTGATTTATGATTTTGAAGCAAATCCTTAACAAAACAATAAATATTAATTAGTTTCACGTACAATGATCAGGACACCGTTGGTAGTCAACGTTGGTCAGGTCAAGTTTTTTTTATCCAAAATTATTTTATTATTCTCGTATATTTATGTTTAACATGGTGACATCTTATTATATTTTGAATTTGAGATAAATTCTTTGAGAAATAAAAAGGTTATTAGCATTTTCATTTGGTCCTGTCATCGCCGATGTTGGTCAGGTCATTGTCAACATTGGTCAGGTCACATCTTCGCAAGCTTAAATTATTTTTTTTCTCAATTTTTTCTTTTATTTATGTAAAACATGCTGAAATCTTATTATATTTCAAATCTGAGATAAATCCTTTGAGAAATAAAAAAGTAATTAGCATTTTTTTTCGGTCCTGTCATTGTCAGCGTAGGTCAGGTCACGTTTTCGCAAGCTTTTGAAAAAAAAATATATTTTCTTTTTAAATTTATGTATTAAATGTTGAAATCTAATTAAATTTCAAATTTGAAACAAATCCTTCGAGAAATAAAAAAGTTATTAGCATTTTTATTTGGTCCTGTCATTCTCGATATTGGTCCTGTCATTGTCAGCGTAGGTCAGGTCACGTTTTCGCAAGCTTCTGAAAAAAAATATAATTTTTTTTTTTAAATTTAAATATTAAATGATGAAATCTTATTATATTTGAAATTTGAAATTAATCCTTTGAAAAATAAAAAAGTTATTAGCATTTTTCATTTGGTCCTGTCATTCGGTCCTGTCATTCGGTCCAGTCATTAGTGTAACCCCGTCAAAGATCGGGAAACTCCGTCGTTGGTATTGGTCTTCCGCTTACGCCAATGAAAATATAATTCGTTAAATGACGGTTATAACGGTTCTAAAGTTCTTATTTTACTACAAAGGTTGAAAACAAACTTCGTGTTAAAATAAATAAAATATAAATTAACAAATTAAACGAAAACGTGCCACATATTTTGTGTTTTTTTGTAGTCCTAGATGCTACAAGCGGCGAAAATGGCAGTGAGTGATGGTTAGTGTTTCACGTGCTGCACGCTTTTCACGTTTTATAATGTATATATTGATAGATTGATTAATTAACTTAATTGCGTGCAATACGAGACAAAACATAGACCGAACTTTTCACATAATTCCACTAAATAAGGATTGTGCGGTCCCATTTTAAATCTTTGACTTTTGTTATTTTTTCATTTTACTAATAGGTTTATGAGCCTTTCTTTAGGAAGAAAAAAATATTTTGATTCGACATAAGTCAAATATACAACACAAGCTCTGAGGAGCCTTTGACCTTATATAAAAACATACAAAGTTCAAAGTTTTTTTATTTCCAATCAAGGGCCCCTGATGGTACATAATGACAATAATACACAGTACATTCTCATTCATAACACTAGTCCAAATAATTATGACGTCTTGAAAGGCTATTTTAATATTTTTTTCTGTGACGCCTTCCTACGACATCATAACGCTGAAGCCTTTTTTTCCGTCTGGACTTTGAGAGCGAATTTTGGGGGGAACTTTGAGACCCAATTCTGGCATGAAATTTTCATTGGCAGCTAGAAATTTTTGCATAGTTACAAAGTCCTACCTTTTTTGTGCTTATTGATCAAAATATTTCCAGAAATATCCAAAAGATATGATAAAATAAGATACGATTCCAGGTGAGGTGAGCAAATATTTACTTTAATTTCAAAATGGTTTCCCAGAATTTCTTAAATACGTCACTTCCGGAGAGTGTAAAATATCAAACTCAGTAAAATTTGGCAGACCCGAATTTCCAAATAATACAAATCAAACGTTTTGGAAATTCTGGTCCATCAAATTTTACTGAGTTTGATATTTTATACTCTCCGGAAGTGACATATTTTGGAAATTCTTGGAAAACATTTTTGAAATTAAAGTAAATATTTGCTCACCTCAAATGAAATTGTATCCTATTTTATCATATCTTTTGGATATTTCTGGAAATATTTTGCATCAATAAGCTCAAAAAAGGTAGAACTTTGTAACTATGCAAAAATTTCTAGCTGCCAATGAAATATTCATGTCAAAATTGGGTCTCAAAGTTCCCCCCAAAATTCGCTCTCAAAGTCCAGAGGGAAAAAATGGCTTCAGTGTTATGACGTCGTAGGAAGGCGTCACAGAAAAAAATTAAAATAGCCTTTCAAGACGTCATAATTATTTGGACTAGTGCTATGAATGAGAATGTACTGTGTATTATTTTCATTATGTCCCGTCAGGGGCCCTTGATTGTGTTTTATGATTTTGGATTCTCAAACATTGGTCTTTATTGTTTTTAATGGAGGTAATTTCATGTGGCATACACTGAAATTGTTATAAATTTATTTGACAAATATTAAATGCAGATATAAAGTACAATTACACATTGTTACATAACTTGATTATTTTTATGTTTTAATTTTTTTCTTTAGATGATATTTTTAGGAGGAGATTATTAATAGAAGGTGATGGAGGTGGTGATGATAAAAGAATTGCCAGCTTATTGAAAACATTTTTCCATTGGGCAAGTGAATCAGAGACCAAGGAAGAAAAGTAAACTTGCTTAAATTTGTTGTATTGTCTTTAAATCTTCTTTGATACAGCTTTGTCTGGTGTCCTTAATATTGGAGAACTTAATACTTTGTAATAAATGCAATAATCAATAAATATCATAGTTTTGACTTGGAACAAGCTCTTTCAAACATGTCCAAACTTTCCACGTTTTTGACAGTCATTTCTGACTTGAAAATACTGTACATTTATATATCCAGATTTTCAACACCTACCCCAGGGCTTCCAAAATTATTTTTAGCCAGCCGAACATTTTATATATTATCCTGATTTTAATCCCTTAAGACTAAATAAACAAAAGGCAATTATGGTAATCAGTTGCCGAGTTGGCCATCCCAATGATTGACATTAAAAAAAACTATATTAAACTTTCTTTGATTCAAATTCGAAATTCTGACGTAAACTGTTAAATTGGCAGTGCATCATTCGAAGTGTGCAACATCAGCGTACTTATATCTGCCTTAGACTCTTTATTTGTGCAAAATTACGTTGTCAAAAACTTTACTTTCGTTTTTATACCGGATGTTATCTTGACAATGGTAAAACATGGACCAGAGACGGATACGTAAATTCCGTGTACGTTTGCAAAGCGTGAATGAGTGGAAGTAGCTCTTTCTACGTTATTTCTTCAAGAAAATATTCGAAATAAACGTGAGATAAAGGTATCAATGACAATTTAAGCATTTTTTGAAGAAATTAGGATGCATAATTAAATTTCACACCTGCGGACATGCGCACACATGTACTAGTTCAAACAGAGACATGTCTCTAGGTTTAAACAACGTGGTTATGACGATTTTTCATTTTCACCTTTTTAATTTTTTCATCAAATCATATTTGTAAACGTATTTCTGATAATTTAAATCTTTTTGACTAAATTAATTCGATGCAAACCGCTGAAATGTAAGAAAATAACTTTGAATAGACCGATCAATGTCCGGTTCAAAATAGTTTACCTGTCACCTGAACAGGTAAATTTCAGCTGTTTGACAACTAATTAGCCTTGATTAAAATGAGAAGGTATTAAAGTAGGGGTTGTTTTGATAGTACTTAATGATCATGTCACTTTTATGACCGGAAATGTGTGGCTGTATAAGGCAAAACGTTGGGTCAAAAAGATCGCGAATTATGTTAAAATGACCGTCTCTTAAAGCCTTGAAAACTAAAAAGTAGATGACCGTTTCATGCTTTGCCCAGCCGGACTTTTATCGGACATTATACAAATGTCCGGCATATATGACCGTTTTGGAAGCCTTGCCCCAGTGCCCCATTGGTATGACATACTCTGTATTCTGCAGTAGAACTTGCATTACGGCAAACACTGTATTTCTTATGCAGTTTGTGAGTTACATAATGTAGATCAGCCATTTGATAACCGTATGAATGAGTTATGACTATCATACACAGAGTGACTAATTCTGTAAGTCAGAGCTTTTTTTCTACCCAACTTTTTGTTGAATTATGATAGTAGATTTATAGAAAGAGAGAAAAGATACCAAGGGGTCAATAGAAAATCATAAGTCCAATGCAACAAACAATACTAAAAAAGAAAACAATGAAAAGACAAACTACAATAAAAACATTTCACAGAAAAGTAAAGAATGAACAACACAAACCTCACCAAAAATTAGGGGTGTGATTTTAAGGATTCCCAAGATAACAGAAAATGAAAGTTTGCATCTTTTTCACCCAACAATATTCACTTTGTAGGATGATAAGGATTTCTTACAATGAGAAATATGATTGTACAGTGACTTGGCTGTAATTGTTAGCCCTGCCTTTGCAGTCAGAGAAAATTTTAACCAAATTGCAGTTTTGAACATCTTACCATATTGATCAATATGTGAAAATTATTACTGTGAAAGTAGCACTTGCACATGTGGTCTGTGTTATGTGAATTAATATTTATAAACACGATAAAAAGTTGCTTCTGATCTTCTGTAATGAACAAATTAATTCACATGTAATGTTTTTCAAATAGCAAGAAAAAATCACAATTGGGAGCACGAATAAAAGTTATTTCCTCAGTTTACTGTATGCTATTTTTCTGATTTTTAAAAAGATTAATGGCAGGTAGCTAGCTGTCTTTTGAAAAAATGCTCCCAATCTCTTTACATTACCAGTCTCTGTAAGTTGAGTGGGGGTAATACTGCCTGCAACCAAATCCTTACATGATGTATAATATAAGTAAAGCAACCACCAATCAATCAATATAATATAAGTACTAAAATATTACTAAGTATGCACACTGTATTTTCTTTTAACAAAATGCATTTTCCTTTTTCAGTCATGCCCAGTATGAGAGAATGATGAAAGACCTAGCTCTGTGTGACTGTGCTGCAGGAAAATGTTTAAATGTTTACAAAATGAATTTGAAGGAGCAAGCAAACTATGAAAAATTAAGTAAAGAAATCGGTAAGATATGGAAATAGTGAAAAAGCATGGTTACTAGGTTACACAAATTTTCTCCAATTTGTATTTAATACAAACCTGCATCAGATCCCACATAAAAAAAATCACAGTGCATTTGTAGCTGCATAGATATTGTCTTTTGGTAATACAACAACTAATAATACAGTGTTAGATGGGAAGATTCTATCTCAGCAGAATAAGTACCTTGAGTAAGCTTTCTGTAACTATTAGCATTTTTTAATAATTTTATTCTGAAAAAAACATTGTGTTTAAAACAAATTTTTTTTTATTATGATTGGCTGAAAATCGTCTCTGAAACTAATATGAGAAATGTTTTGACACTTGAGATATTTGATGATTGAAAGATCCTATTCAAACTTTCCTCATTTGATGTTGATTGAGTGGTAAACATGGTGGCATAGGTGGCTCATAGTTCTCATTGAAATCATTTTCATCATCTTGTCTGAAATAGATTGGCAGGAATGATATAAGGAAGGTCATTTGTAACTGATCCTCATTCTGTTCCAATTACATGGAAAATATGGCTTCTAGCGGCTATCATTGACTCTGATCAATTTTTATACGACTGCAAACAAAATTTTGTGGTCGTATATTGGTATGACGTTGGTGTTGTCGTCGTCGTCGTTGTCGTCCAAAGACACATTGGTTTTCGCACTCTAACTGACATTGTACCACAAGATTCCATATCACAAAGGGAGTGCTGGGATTGATTTTGGGGGTAATTGCCTAAAAATTTTAGGAATTAGGGGGCAAAAAACAAGCATTTTTCTAGTTTCATGACAATAACTTGTGTGTAAGTGTATGGATCTTTCTGAAATTGTACTACAAGGTTCCATATCACAAAGGGAAAGCTGGAATTGAGTATGGGGGTAATTGCCCAAGACGTTTAGGAATAATGGGCCAAAAGGGGACCAAAATAAGCATTTTTCTAGTTTCCAGACAATAACTTGTGTTCAAGTGTATGGATCTCTCTGAAATTGTACTGCAAGGTACCATACCACAAAGGGAAGGATGGGATTGATTTTGGGGGTAATTGCCAAAAAAATTTAGGAATTAGGGGCAAAAAAACAAGCATTTTTCTAGTTTCAGGACAATAACTTGTGTGCAAGTGTATGGATCTTTATGAAATTGTACAACAAGGTTCCATATCTCAAAGGGAAAGCTGGGTTTGAGTTTGGGGGTAATTGCCCAAAACGTTTAGGAATTTGGGGCCAAAAAGGGGCAAAAACAAGCATTTTTCTAGTTTCCAGACAATAACTTGTGTTCAAGTGTACGGATCTCTCTGAAATTGTACTGCAAGGCACCATACATTGTAACACAAAGGGAAGGCTGGGATTGAGTTTGGGAGTGATGAATCATAAGGGGGTTCAAAAAATTTGAGGGGGTATTTTTTTCCGTTTTTTTTTTCTTTCAAATTTTCCTTTTTAAATTGGTTATTTCTGATTAATATATAAAAGCAAATAATAATGATATGGTTTGAATAGGTAAATTAAATATTTTTAAGTTCTTAGACCACATTCATTCTGTGTCAGAAACCTATGCTGTGTCAAATATTTAATCACAATCCAAATTCAGTGCTGTATCAAGCTTGAATGTTGTGTCCATACTTGCCCCAACTGTTCAGGGTTCAACCTCTGCGGTCGTATCAAGCTGCGCCCAGCGGAGCATTTTATTAAAAAATCATCTCTAAACCTACGTTGTGAAACTGAAGGGGGTTGATGAAAAAAAGCTTTTTGAAGCGTAACTTGTTAGAAGTTATGAGCTTTTAAGAAATTAAAAGGCAAATTTGTCAGATGAGGGATCAAATTTCCCAGGAATCTCCAGTTGTGTTGTTTGATTGGTCGAAACCCCACACCTTTTATTCCAATAATTGCCGGAAATATTGTTTTTGGAAAAATTTCCTTAACTTACTGGTCTGTGCGTCCATTCCTTCGTTCGTCCGTCTGTCTGTCTGTCCCGCTTCAGGTGAAAGTTTTTCGTCAAGGTAGTTTTTGATGAAGTTGAAGTCTAATCAACTTGAAACTTAGTACACATGTTCCCTATGATATGATCTTTCTTATTTTAATGCCAAATTAAGAGTTTTGACCCCAATTTCACTGTCCACTGAACAAAGAAAATGATAGTGTGAGTGGGGCATCCACGTACTATGGGCACATTCTTGTTTCATTGCTTTTTAAATTTCATTTTAAATGTTGCTTATCTGCTAGAAAATAATTGAATGGGCTCTGTACAAATTGTTTTTTCAGAACAGAAAATAAGTGAAGCAACAGAGAAGATTTCAGAATGTAAAAATGAATTGCAGCAGGCAAAAAGAATTAGGAAAAACCGACAAGGTACAGTATTATTTCAAATCCAGGTTTTATTGTCGAGCCTTCGACTTTAGTCAAAAAGCGAGACATAGCGATCCTACATTCCGTCGGCGTCGTCGTTGGCGGCGTCCACAAATATTCACTCTGTGGTTAAAGTTTTTGAAATTTTAATAACTTTCTGAAACTATCCTGGATTTCTACCAAACTTGGACAGAAGCTTGTTTATGATCATAAGATAGTATCCAGAAGTAAATTTTGTAAAAATAAAATTCCATTTTTTCCGTATTTTACTTATAAATGGACTTAGTTTTTCTGCCAGTTAACATTACATTCACTCTGTGGTTAAAGTTTTTAAAATTTTAATAACTTTCTTAAAATATCACGGATTTATACCAAACTTGGACAGAAGCTTGTTTATGATCATAAGATAGTATCCAGAAGTAAATTTTGTAAAACAAAATCCTGTTTATCCGTATTTTACTTATAAATGGACTTAGTTTTTCTGCCAGTTAACATTACATTCACTCTGTGGTTAAAGTTTTAAAATTTTTTATAACTTTCTTAAACTATCCTGGATTTGTACCAAACTTGGACAGAAGCTTGTTTATGATAAAAAGCTAGTATTTAGAAGGAAATTTCGTAGAAATTTATTTCCTGTTTTTCCGTATATTACTTATAAATGGACTTAGTTTTTCTTCCAGTTAACATTACATACAGTCTGCAGTTGAAGTTTTTAAAAAATTTATTAGATTCATAAACCATCCTGGATTTTTACCAAACTTGGACAGAAGCTTCTTACAATCAAAAGCTAGTATCTAGAGGAAAATTTTTAATAATTTTTTCCCCATTTTTGTTGAGCCTGTGACTAACAGCAAAAGTAGGCGAGACACTGGGTTCTGCGGAACCCTTACGAATTTTCTTGAAAATTGTGCATATTTTGACGCAATTGTTCGTTTGTATGAGTTGTAATCAAATAAAAAAAGGTTCGTTGTAAGGTTTAACAACCAAGGTCAATCCAAATTTGTAAAGTAAAATTGCATGTTTCATTAAATACAATTTGTTAATATCAATAAAATAAAGTTGTAAATGTATGAAGAATAGAATAGTCTGGTTTGTTGTGTCTTAGAAAGTTGAGAGGAAAACCAGTTTTGAGTAATTTGTTTCCATTTTAGAGTATGATGCACTTGCAAAAGTGATACAGCAACATCCAGATAGACAAGAAACTACAAAGTAAGATTGTTGTAATGTAAGAGTGATGTAATATAAGATTGAAAAGTTTCAGCTGCAGAAGACTGGCATGGCATGTGGAAAGCTTCGGATTATTTTAAAGAGTTCTTGTTTTTTATATGTACGGTGTATATGTATGTGGTATTTGTCATTTGCTAATATGAACGTTTTTTGATAAACGGTAAATACTTGGTATTTTTAAAAGTAATACAGAGAAAACTGATATGAAATGTTTCCTAAGCACACTATCTCCAATGGGTTTAAATAACCCAATTACATTGTATTTGTCCATTTTATACAAGAAATATCCAGCCTAATTTTGTGGCTTGTGATAATGATGGAGATAAAATTTGCAGTTTTTCATCTGTTTGAAGAAATTATCTAGGCTGATTATGCAGCTTAAAATAAAAAAATTAATGGCTGATTATCCAATGAGGATAATTGTCCATCAAACTGTTTGACCCTTTACAGCTCTTTTCATAATGCTTGCAAGGCAAAGGTTTGTTTGGCTTGCTTGCTTGGTTTGTATCAATGTTTGCTCTAGCATTGTAATTAAGATTGACATCTGAAAACAACATAAAAAGGTGGATTTAAACTTGTATACAGTATATTTAAATTTGATTGGACATTATCAAATAATCAAATTTACCTTTACACAGGTTTAACTCCACCTACTTATATTGTTTGCAGATGTCAATCTTAATTACAATGCTTGAGCAAACATTGATACAAACAAAGCAAGCAAGCCAAACAAACCTTTGTCTTGCTAGCATTATGAAAAGAGCTGTAAAATGATTATCCAGCCTGATTTTGTTGCTTGTGATAATGAATGGATAATTGTTAATGATGTTATTTATTTACTTAGTTTACAATTGTGTTAAACATATTACAATGATGAATTGAACTCATTTGTATTATATTTCATGAAGTAACTTTGTGTTTTATGTACTGTGAGTTTGTTTTATGTTGTGAAACTGAAAGTAAGAACCTGTACAGTTTCAACTATTAGAGTGTGATTTATAGTTTTATAATTTTCAGTTTATTATTTTAGGCAGCTTCAAGTAATAGACAAGGAGGTGACCAGTTTGGAAGAAAAGAAAAAAAGTCTTGAGCAGAAGGTAATATTTTGACATTGTAGTGCTGTATAAATACAAACTAAATGAGAACCCCCAAAAATGTGTATATTAAAACTCATCAAGTACTTTGGGTTATTGTTCACATTAATTACTCAAGAATTCCAATTTCATTGAAACCTTAAGTACTTATGAAGAGAGATCAAATTTTAAAGATTAAGAACAAACTTCTCCTTTCAATTCATAGGTTTCAGAGGATTTTGAATAAGTTCAAGTTTGTGGAGTCCCAAATTTAAACAATTTTTGTTTGGATTGTACTTCATTCATTTACTTTTCTTTTTTCCAAGCTTAAAGTTCTTCAGATATAAAATCCTTAAATTAAAACACTGAACCTTTCTTTTCCTCAAATACAATTTATCACCAAGTTTGCTTGTCACGCAGCAAGCAAAGCAGGAATTGCTTAGTCTTCTAGAGCACCTGAGGTCTGTGTTCTGTGGAATTTCTATTGGTCATTCGTTAGGTTTTCTGTGTGATGGTTTGTTTAATATTGTTGGGTTGTTTTTTTGCCATATGTCATCTTGCCTTCTTTGACATGATTTTTAATTCTCCCCTAAGAATCTTCTTATTTTTCTTATCATATTTAACCTCTTATACATGTTATATTGCAATATGCAGTAACAGTCTCTTGTAAGCACAACTACTCCTAAAAGGCAGGACAAATAGTGATGAAACTTTACAAAGGTGTAGAATACTACCTGAAGGTGTGCATAAAGGAATATAATTCTGGTCCCTTTTGTTAAAGGGTGAAGTTATCGAACTTACTTACTTAAAAATATAGTATGGTATTGCAAGGAGGAGGTAGATTGTTGCAAGTTCACTCACAATAAACCCATCGTAGATACCAGGATTAAAATTTTGTACCCCAGACTTCAAAAGACTCATCAGTCATGCTCGAATAAAAAAAAAAACTTAAAGGCCAAATAAAGTATGAAGTTTTAAAAAGAGCATTGAGGACTCAACATTCTGAAAGGTTTTGCTAAATACAGATAAGGTAATCTATTCCTGGGGTAGAAAACCTTTAGTATTTGGAAAAATTCAAAGTTTTGTAAACAGCTGATTTATAACCCGTTTATAACAGTATTTACTATTTACATAGGACAAATTTAAATATTCATGTCTCTTTTGTAATCAATATTTATTTGAAATTTTGCAGCTTGGTATGAGAAGAAAACAGTTCCATGTGTTAATAGCAGCCATTCATGAGTTACAGCAGATATTAGATGGTAACTTTTATACTTAAAGAAATATATACTTTATTCTAGTTACTGTGGTAGTCCTTTTGTTCATGGATTGTTCATTTTTTTTGCTTCATTTATATCAATGTTTTTTCAGTTCTTGGTTTCATCACTGTTCACACAAAATAAAGACAAAATATGCCTGTTTAGCTCACCTGGCCTAAAAGGTCAAGTGAGCTTTTCTCATCACTTGGCGTTTGGTGTCCGTTGTCTTCTGTGTTGTTTGACAAAAAACTTCTCCTCTGAAACTACTGGGCCAAATTTAACCAAACTTGGCCACAATCATCATTGGAGTATCTAGTTAAAAAAATGTGCCAACCAAGATGGCCGACATGGCTAAAAATAGAACTTAGGGGTAAAATGCAAGTTTTGCCTATTATTTTGAAAACCGCTTTAAATAAGAAAATCTGACATAGGCAAAAATTTTCAAAATGTTGAGCTCTACTTATTGTTCATTTATGTCAAAACTGTCGGAGGACTTCTTATAGGAGTTATTGTCCATAAATAATGAATTTTACCATTTTTAAAAGTTTTTGCCTATTATCTCAAAAATTAAAAAAGATAGATGGAAACTTTAAATAACAAAATGATCAGCAAGACAAGATATAAAATTAGTCAACAGGACCAAATTTATTAATCGACTCCTTATTGAAGTTATTGCCCTTGTAATAATGAAAATTTATCCCATTTATGCCTATTATTTTGAAAACTGTAATAGCTAGTTAGAATATTTATATAGCTCAAATGATCAGCAAGACAAGATCCACAAATAAGCCAAATGGCAGAAACCTTCAGTTGACTCGTTATTAGAGTTATTGCCCTTTAATGATAATTTTTTAAAAAAAATTTGCATTTTTAGCCTGTTATCTTGAAAACTATAGTAGATAAATAGAATTTTAAAAAGTAAAAATTATCAGCAGGATAAGATCTACAAATATGTCAACTTGACTGAAATTGTCAGTTTACTTTTATTAGAATTATCCCCTTTAATGATGATTTTTATTAAAAAGTGGCCATATTTTTAAGATACAGGTGAGCGATTCAGGCTCTTTAGAGCCCCTAGTTTTACAAAAGACTCGTCAGTGATGCTTGAATCAAAAAAGATAAAAAGGCTGAATAAAGTACGAATTTTTGAAGAGCATTGAGGACCCAAAATTCCAAAAGGTTTTGCCAGATACAGCCATGGTAATCTATTCCTGGGGTAGAAAATCCTTAGCATTTTGGAAAATTAAGTTTTGTAAACAGTTGATTTATAATAATGACCATATCAGTGATAATTCATGTCAACACAGAAGTCCTGACTAGTGGGCTGGTGATACTCTCTGGGAGAAAACAAAAGACAACAATTGCTGAAGAATAAGAGATATTTTATTTGAATATTAAAAATAAATAAAAGCAGAAATGGTGTGGATGTCATTGATACAACAACCGAATAATACAAAAAATGACATGTAGAAGCTGATGGATATATGAAATTTGTTTGTTTATTTGAGATTGCAATAAGAATAAACTGTCAACAATAACTCAAATACAATTTTTATTTAGTATTTATATTGATGTTTATATGATTGAATATTTTTTTTCAGCTGATGAAATTGATGATATTAAGGATGACATTATGGATACCAGCTGAAAGTATTACATGATATCTAGACTTTTTTCTGCTAAGGACCAGTCCTGTGTCAAGTGTTTAACAAATGATAAGATGACATTTATCAATGTTAATATGACACCTTAGATGACAGTGATGTTACTCATTTGACAGTTTTAACAACATGAACAAAGGACTTTAAATCTTGTAAATAACAGAACTCTCACAAAGAAATATCATTCCGCAGTTACGATGTATGTGTTCTGTGAAACAATCTTTATTCATTGATGCCATTTTTTTGTATTTTCTTGTTTGTGCAAACATGTTATGTTTCTGAGGTTTTGATTTTGTGGTTTCAGATTTCAAAAAAGGGGAAGATGTATATTTTGGTGTCATTGGAATCTGATTTTAGGTTTATAATTACACAACCAAAAACTCACATATATTGGTACATATAAAGTAGTAGAATTTAGAATAAGAGCTTGGTTCACGTCTTGAAGAATGGCATTAAAACATCTCTTAATATAAAAATTAGTCTTGAAAATTGTCAGTCAAAATTCTCTTCAGACTGGCAAAATTGCCCACAAAATAAGAATTCATTACTTTCATCACCAAGTCAACTGATTATTCCCATCTTGCTAACATCTGCAAATTAAGTGTTTAAAAATGTTTGAAATAAAACCATAATAAGAAAGTTTTTGTCTCCCCTTCAACAAATGTTGTAAAGGCCTTGACATATGAATGTTTATCACATAGAAGTGACAAGGGTGTTTACTATTTGTATAGAGCTTAATATTCAATAAGTAATCTTTATTCTGTTGCACTGACTTGCTATTAATTCTCCACTTTTAAGGGGGAAATCAGTCATACATGAAAAGGGAGCCAGGATAAGAAAGTCATTCAATTTATTAGTAGATATAATTATTTGGTTTCCATCTGGAATATAATAGTTACATGTGACCTCTATATTGTAACATCAATGTTGTTTTGTGCTAAGTATACTGTAGGACAGTTTCTTAATAAATACAATTCATAAGTCAGCTATAGTTACTTTAATGTACATAATCATTGTAATGTGTTCCTGTCCCTCCGACAGTATTCAGCTGTCCTTGATATAAAAAAAAGAAGATGTGGTATGATTGCCAATGAGACGACTCATTTTTATTAGTTCATTTTCATGTTTAGAAGTCAGTTACTCCGGTATTACAAGTGACAGTTACCTTGATATTGTCTGTAGGATTCTTATGCCCCCACCGTAGCGGAGGGGGCATTAAGTTTTACCCTTGTCCGTCTGTACGTACGTATGTCCCAAAATTGGTTTCCGTTCTCTAACTTTAGTTTGTCTCAACCAAATGTTATGAAACTTATACACAATGCTTATTACCACAAAACACAGATTAAGTTTGAATTTTGGTGGCGTCACTTTTACCGTTCTAGAGTTATGCCCCTTTACAAATGGAAAATTGCTGAATTTATCGTTTCCATTCTCTAACTTCAGTTTGCCTCAACCAAATGTTATGAAACTTATACACAATGCTTATTATCACAAAACACAGATCAAGTTTGAATTTTGGTGGTGTCACTTTAACCGTTCTAGAGTTATGCCCCTTAAGAAATGGAAAAATTGCTAAATTTTTATTTTCTTCTAAATATCAAGTTATTTTAAAATTGGAGTTATCTTTCTTTTTCCATGATTATAGTTGAATCAACTACAATCAATGCTTTATACAATGCAATGTTAAATTTTGACTTCCACTGATAAAACACAGATCAAGTTGAATTTGGGTAGTGTCACTTTAACCATTATTGAGTTATGCCCCTTTATAAATCGAAAGATTGCAAAACTTTTAGTTTCCATTCTGTAACTTAAGTTTGCCCCAACCAAACATTATGAAACCTATACAGTCCTTCACACAGCCCTCAAATTGAAAAGTTTTGCACAACTACTGTTGAGATAAAAACAACATAAAACTGAAGTGGCTGTCAACATTCATTTAATGAAATTTGTCAAATTTATCAGTAAAATTAACATTACACAGGTTGGTTCAGATATCTTAATAGCTACAGTGATAATTTCTGCATCCTTTGCGATAAAACTGGAGTACATAGTTTGGCATTTTCAAAATTCATCTGTTTAGTTAATATTACATTTACATGTATCACAACGTTACGTCATTGGTTGAATTTCCATTGTTTAGAACAATTTAAACTAATCACAATGTTTTGGTGTACGCTTTTGAAAATATTACCCAGAATGCACTATATTCTGAAATGGCAAATTCAAGTTACTAAAATAAAGGAAAAAAAAAGGGGGGGGTTGAAAATATTTTGTCTTGACTTAGAAACTAGTCAAATCCCACCCTATTTGAATCACAACGTCCAGATTCTAAATTCCATGACTAAGATTTCAGTGTTAGATAAACAACCTGTTTGTAAAAGAATACAATTAATAAGCATGAAAATAATTACTTTTCTACTTTCTTTCTTAATTTTTCATGTGAAATCTTCATATATGACAAAACCTGTAGTCAGGTAGTGTTTACATTGTTTGGAGTCATATTACACCATCTTGTACATAGTTTAACTTTTTACAGATAAAAATTGAAACAATAATATATTTAATTGAAAGTGACAAGTACTTAGATAATACTAGCTTATCTGACATTTAATACCAGATGAAAGAGCGCTCCAGAATAGCGAAAAATGGAGGGCTGTGTGGTGGACTGTATACACAATATTCATTACCACAAAACTAAGATCAAGTACAAATTTTTTGTTTCTGTTTTCTAACTTTAGTTTGCCTCAACCAAATGTTATGAAACTTATACACAATGCTTATTACTGCATAATACAGATTAAGTATGAAATTTGGTGGCAACACTTTTACCATTCTTGAGTTATGTCCCTTTATAAACATAAAAATTGCTGAATTTTTCGTTTCCGTTCTCTAACTTTAGTTTGTCTCAACCAAATGTTATAAAACGTATACACAACCGTTCTAGAGTTATGGGTGTTTACAAATAGAAAAATTGCTGAATTTTTAGTTTCTGTTCCCTTCTTAAGTTAGCCTCAACCAAATGTTATGAGACTTACACACAGTGCTTATTACCACAAAACTCAGATCAAGTTCAAATTTGGGTAGCGTCACTTTTACCGTTCTTCAGTTATGTCCCTTTATAACTATATGATATGCAAGCGGGGGCATCATCTGTGTCCACATGTGGACACTATCCACATTTTTATAAGGTGTGTCTGTCCATCTGTAAGGGTTTGCCTGACCTTGTCCTTATTTTCATTTTATTAATCAGTTCTATTTTTATGATAAGCTTTTTAGTTTCTTATTAACTTTAAGTAATAGGTCAACATTTACTTGTTCAATAGTATGTATGCATTCCTGTCCTCCTCACAGAAATCACTTGACCTTGAGCTCATTTTCATGGTACATTGATTCACATTGACCTTGAGCTTGCTTTCATGGTTCATTAATTCACATTGAGTATGGTTATTAGGTCAGTTTCTAACTTTATTGTCAATAATCTATTATATGATTGCAATGCATGATGTTTGATATCAACCTCAGTGAGCTGAGTCTTTAAACATATTTTCAAGTCACAATCAAGCAGGCAAGACATTTCTAAAATTGTTTAAACCCAGGGTAATTTCATGGCCCCTTCTATCACCCATCACGTCCCTTTCAAACATAGTTTTAGATCCATGTGCAGGACCAGAATTTTGGAGAAAGAGGGGTTGGTAGCTCTAGGTTAAATTTTGTTGATTATTACATGAAAAAAATCTAAAGAAACAAGTTTTCAAAAGCAGGAACTCCTTGCTAGATCCATCAATGTAATTGGTCTAAAAATATTGTTATTTGCACAAGTCAAACTAATGTGAACTAGAGATGACAAGGGAACTATTTATTTATAAGTTGATGAAGAGTTGATTCCTTTTCTGTCTTAAAAAAGAAAAAAATATTTGTATTGTTTTGTTTTTAGGAATGTAACATGCATGTGTTGCATCTTTATATTCATCTGGATTTTTGTAGTTAAAAAGTGTCAATGTTTTGTGCTTTACAAAGCACTATTTTAAGTTGCTTACATACTTCTTGATGTGCAGTAAGTTACTATTTTGTTATCAGTGCTTGGTGTTTAACATAAAGGTTTCTCACCTTTAAAAAATCTTTTCACTATTGCGTTTTTTTTTCAAAGAAAAACACCCAACAGAGTCAGAGACAACTTGAGAAAGTAGCTAAACTAAGAAAAATGATAAGAAAAAATATCACCATGCATCTAACTAAAAGAAATGTAACTGAGACATACTGAGGTCAACATACAGTCTTTAAGGTGTCTTTACAATATGTCAAGCTTAAATACACATTTTTTCTATGAAATATTTGACCCCAAAACATTAGACACAGGTTTCTTTGTATACGAATGTGATAAAAGAAGATTTTTTTTAAAGTAAAAAGCTGCAGGTACATATTCGAGAAATAATTTTTAATATTTCTACCCCGGAATATAGAAATCACTATATCTATCTGTTTGTGCAAGCCACATCTAGTTGAAAAATTTTATGCTTTGAAGGATATAATGATACTTGGTATTATTGTTAGACTTCACCAGAGTGTGTTGCAAATAAAGTTGAATTATCTAGAAGGTCAAGCTTGTGAGCTTTTGCTATCAATTTGCGCTCGTCATCCGTATTCAATTTAGTTTTAAAATAATTCAATTGAATCCGATTATTGATGACTTATCAATATACACAATGACTAATTGAGACGATCATACATTTACGTCGTGCCTGCCCCAAGTCAGGAAACTCACCACATGTTGTCTTATGTATATATATTTTTCAATTTAAACTTTTATATTTTTCGTTTGGGCTTGTATTATATTTGCCTTCGGGTTTATATGATCCGTTCATCCTATTTCGACTCTTCAAAATTCAAGAGTCTATCCTAAATTGAGGTAAATTATATGGCCTTCCAAATACCCTTTCGATTCCTAATATCACTGAAGAGACATTAATTGTACTAAGTTTTGCACCTTTTATTTGCGGTATACCATCTTTTCCGCAAGTTTATTGTTTTCTGTTTGATATTAAATTAATAGTTAAGACACTGTATGTTGCCCACTAACAGGATGAATGCTACACAATATTTGTTGCCTACTAACAGGATGAATGCTAGACACTTTGTAGTCTACTTACATGATGAATGCTGAAACTGCATGTTACCCATTTACAGGAAGAATGCTAGACTCTTTATGTTGCCTACTAACAGGATGCCTACTAGACATTGTATTGCCCACTCACAGGGTTTATGCTAGACACAGTATGTTGCCCTCTAACAGGATGAATGCTAGACACAGTATGTTGCCCACTAACAGGATATATGTTAGACACTGTATGTTGCCAACTAACAGAAAGAATGCTAGACACTGTTTTTGCCGATAACAGAAAGAATGCTAGACACTGTATGTTGCCCACTATCGGGATGAATGCTAGACAATGTTTGTTGCCGACTAAAAAGGTGAATGTTAGACACTGTATGTGGCCCACTGACAGACTGAATGCTAGATGTTTACGTTGTCCACTAACAGGATGAATGTTAGACACTGTAGGTTGCTCACTAACGGTGAATGCTAGACACTGTATGTTGCCAACTAGCAGGATGAGTGTTAGACATTGTATGTTGCTCACTAACAGGACTGTATGTGGCCCACCAATAAGACTAATGCTAGACACTGTATGTTGCCCACTAACAGGATGAATGATAGACACTGTATGTTGCTTACTTACAGTGTGAATGCTAGAAATAGTTTGTTCCCACTAACAGAATGAATGCTTGACATTGTATGTTGCCCACTAACAGGCTTAATGCTAGACACTGTATGTTGCCCACTAACAGGAAGAATGCTAGACACTATGTGGCTCACTAGCAGGAAGAATGCTGACACTGTATGTTTCTCACTCACAGGGTGAATGCTAGACACAGTATGTTGCCCACTAACAGGATGAATGCTAGACATAGTGTTGCCCACTAACAGGATGAATGCTAGACATAGTATTGCCAACTAACAGGAAGAATGTTAGACACTGTATGTTTCCAACTAACAGAACGAATGCTAGATGGTGACATTCCATTGTCACCATCTAATGATGTTTATATATCTCAACTTGTTTGATTCGCTCGTGTATGTAACAACGTATTTGATTTTAACGAAAGAAATCTCTGTATTACGGGAAAATTATTACACCAGGGTTTTGGATATCACAAACTAGTCAAAACATTTACTAAATTTTATCATCGGTACGAGGACATCATTCGTAAATATAAATCAACATGCAGACGTCTTCTACGTTCAGGTATTTCACATCCAATATTTTATGGTAATATTCTTTACAAAGCACAAAAATGTCGGCATTCACCTCAAAAGCTTACCAAACCTTTAATCAGACTTATTCAGAAGGGATATAGTTACGATACTGTTGTCAGGTCATAAAAGATGGCATATTTTGGTATTAATATTGATTCACTAATAGGGTCTTTGCATCGGAAATAAACACATTTATTCAAAAACCAGTTGTTGGCATGATACGGGTCATGTTCTTCTCATATATTTTATGATGGTAAGATACTAAACCCCTTTATACGGGAGGGATTGTGCTTGATTTTCATATGATGAAGACATAATCTTTCAATCAGTTAAATTGAGGTCTGGAGCTGGCATGTCAGTAACTGCTAGTAGTCCTTTGTTAGTCCCCTACCGACGAAGTCGAAGTGGACTTTAGGTTTGCACTCCGTCCGTCTGTCTGTCCGTCTGTCTGTCTGTCCATCTGTCAGTCCGGCAAATCAGTTTTCCAGACTTTTTTTCTTCGTGCTTGAAGATATTGATTTGATATTTGGTTTATTGATTTATCATGACAAGTTACAGGTCAAGTTCAATTTTCACGATTTTAGCTTTTCTCTTTGTTCAGTTAAAGCCCTTTCCCTAGAATTAAACTTTTTATGAAATACTTATTAATTAGTAGGTTTCTGTTCAAAGGGAAATAACTCATTTTTTAAAAGACAAAATGACATTTAGGATTTTTTTCCTTTTCTTTGGTAAATTGTTTGAAGAATTTAGTGGTAGGTTTGTTTGTCATTCTTGAAGATATTGATTTTGTTAATAAGTTTTATCATGACAAGTTACAGATCAAGTTGGAATTTTGTTCCAGTCTGATAATTTTGTGCAGAGTTATGGTCTTTGGACATAGAAAATTCACTTAAATAATCAGTTTTCAACAGTTTTTTTCGTCATGCTTGAAGATTTTGACTTGATATTTTTATGTAGTTTACACCATGACAAGTTATAGATCAAGTTAGAATTTCGTTCCATTACAATGAATTTGTAACCGGTAGGGGACTATGTATTACCATGCAATACTCACAGAATGCTTGTTAATTTATGTATCATTGTCATTTTACTTAGTTTTATGTTATCTATTCTGACATCGGACTTGGACTTCTTTTAAACTGAGTTTTACTTTGCGTATTGCTGTGTGTTTGTTTTTTCTACATTGGCTAGAGGTATAGGGGGAGGGTTGATATCTCACAAAACATGTTTAACCCAGCCGCATTTTTGCGCCTGTCCCAAGTCAGGAGCCTCTGGGCTTTGTTAGTCTTGTATGACTTTTAATTTTAGTTCATTTATATGTTTTGGAGTTTAGTATGATGTCCATGTTCACTGAACTAGTGCCCATTGTTGTTTAGGGGCCAGCTGAAGCCCTCCTCCGGGTGCGGGATTTTCTCGCTGTGTTGAAGACCCATTGGTGGCCTTCGGCTGTTTTCTGCTCTTTGGTCGGGTTGTTGTCTCTTTGACACATTCCCCATTTCCATTCCAAATTTTACTGTATTTTGCTCACTATCGGGATGAATGATAGATAATGTTTGTTGCCAACTAAAAAGGTGAATGCTAGACACTGTATGTGCCCCACTGACAGGGTAAATGCTAGACATTATGTTGCCCACTAACAGGATGAATGCAAGACACTGTAGTTTGCGCACTAACGATGAATGCTAGACACTGTTTGTTGCCCACTGGCAGGATAAATGTTAGACATTGTATGTTGCCCACTAACAGGACGAATGCTACACTGCATGTGGCCCACTAATAGGATGAATGCTAAACACTGTCTATTGCCCACTAACAGAATGATTGCTAGACATTGTATGTTGCCCACTAACAGAATGAATTCTAGACATTGTATGTAGCCCACTAACAGGATGAATGCTAGACACTGTATGTTGCCCACTGACAGGGTAAATGCTAGACACTATATGTGACCCACAAACAGGATGAATGCTATACACTGTATGTTGCCCACTAACATGATGAATACTTGACACTGTGTTGCCCACTCACAGGGTGAATGCTAGACACTTTATGTTGCCCACTAACAGGATGAATGCTAGACACAGTATGTTGCCAACTAAAAGGAAGAATGCTAGACACTGTATGTTGCCTACTAACAGAACGAATGCTAGACACTGTATTTTGCCCATAACAGGAAGAATGCTAGACACTGTATGTTGCCCACTATCAGGATGAATGTTAGACAATGTATGTTTTCCAACTAACAAGGAGAATGCAGGACACTGTATGTGGCCCACTGACAGGGTGAATGCTAGACACTTTAAGTTGTCCACTAACAAGATGAATGCTAGACACTGTATATTGCTCACCAACGGTGAATGCTACACACTGTATGTTGCCCACTAGCAGGATGAGTGTTAGACATTGTATGTGGCCCACTTACAGGATGAATACTAGAAATTGTATGTTGCCTACTAGCAGGAAAAATGCTAGACACTGTATGTTGCCCACTTACGGGATGAATGCTAGACATTGTATGTTACCCACTTGAAGGATAAATGTTAGACGCTATATGTTTCCCACTAACCGGATGAATGATAGACACTGTATGTTGCCCACTTGCAAGTGAGTGTTAGACATTGTATGTTGCCCACTAGACGTCCATTTGTGGTTTGTACTGCAGGATTGTTGTTTCATTGACGTATATCCCACATCTCCTTTAATTCGTACATAAACCTTGCAATGCTATATGAAATTAACATTAATATGTGTATACCACTTCACGACTTGATCTTACTTACTGGTTCATTTGTGTTCTTTAAATAGCGAATTGTTTTAAATGCCCGTTATAAACTATTATTCATAATGTTTTGAATTTCATTTTTATTTGTTATTCTATCAATTAACGCAATATTGATATAAATTCACGTACAATCCTTTGTGGTTGAAGAGTGCCTAGCGTTATGCACGTAGACATACCAATAAATCAAACAAGATATTTGGGCCTTCCGAGTTAACAGTATGTCAGTACTTTTATTATTGTCTCGTTTTCACTACATATTTTCTCTTCCTGTGTTCATTACTAATCGAACTGAGGCCTTTCAGGGCAAATAGGCGTTTTTCTCACGTACTGCTCAGAAAGGTAAATATGGTTCGTTATATGACAGGATGATAATGTTCTCTCACTATGTTAAGATTTGTTTTCATCTTTTAAGAAAAATAATTGAAAGAATTTTTCAAACCGTGGGAAAATTGAAAGTTTAAAAAGTAATAATTCCAAACGTTTCTATAGAAATACCAAACATAGGAAGGATCATAAAATGGATTTTTAAAGCTAATATCAATGAAATAAATATTATATTGATTTGTAAAATATATAGTCACAATGAAAGGCCGACCGGAGGAAGGCGGAAATCAAGCTGTAAACTTCGGTAAAGCCTATAGTTCTAACAAATTTCTAAACCCTGTCAAAAACTGATATATGTACATGACTGGCAAGATAAAATTTTGATTATTAAAATTAGTGTTTACTTCAATTCACAAGAAAAAAGTTAATTCCTAGACAAGCGGAAACCTCTTCTCGTGGGAAAAGGCGGAAATGATTTTAAAATAGATGCACTTTGAACTATTATTATTTTACATCATTAAAATAGAAATGTATGCATCAACAACATATCAATTTTAAAGAAAAATCTATACTTTTGTTGATTTGATTATTTAAAGACAAATTTAAGAACGTTTATCGCCGATGTTATGTGCTTTCTGTACAAAAGTGCCCCTATTTTGAAAGAATTACTCAAGTAAATTTTAGAAAATAAAACAGATAAATGCATTTTTTTTGTTCGATTTTCAGTTACAGTTCAACGAGCAAAAGTTGCATGCAAATTTTACCCAAATTTGTGACATAGTTCATTTACTGTACATTGACCTTAATTGAATTAATTGTTTATAAAGACTGCCGACAAAGTGTTACGTATTAGTATTTGTATTGTGTTGTATTTTTGAAAGCTATTACATGAATTGCAACGGAATAGATGGATAACTCAAGTGCTCGATTTCTCACTTGAGTAGAACGGTTACCATCAGTATGGTGTCACACCACCAATTTATCCAGCAGCATTAAGAACATATAAAACATACTCTGACAAAACAGACGTCATTGTTAACTTAAACTAGCATTTAAATTGACATGAATGAAACTTTACTGAATGAGAAATATATTTGAACCTTTTTGAGGCCAAATTTACTTTTGGAACACAAATTTAGGGTAAATATTCTTCTCCGAATGCTTAAATGTAGGAACGATTTTTAGTAGTAAGCGACTTGCGGTATGTCATTGAACTAAAGTATCACTCCTTTGTTCATAATGTAGAGTTATTTAAAAAAATACCCGTAAATGTTACTTTTACCCATCACTACAAACCAAATAAAGTCTGAAATTGGCAGTAATTGAACTCTAATGTACTGATTCTTACTCGACCATTCTGAATAAGTCTCAATTTTACTGGAAATTACTTGACTGAAATCTTAACCATACTTAACTGTATTGATTTGTACTCGTCCCTAATCTAGACAATACTTAAAAGTCTGGACTAGTAAAAAGTAAAATAACAAAAATACCGAACTCCAAGGAAAATTCAAAACGGAAAGTCGCTTATCAAATGGCAAAATCAAAAGCTCAAACACATCAAACGAATGGAATATTCCTGACTTGGTACAGGTATTTCCTTATGTAGAAAACGGTGAACTAAACCTGGTTTTATACCTAGTTAAACCTCTCATTTGTATGACAGCCGCATAAAATTCCATTATATTGACAACAATGTGTGAACAAAACAAACATACATAATAGGAAAAGATGTCAAAAATAGGGGTACAGCAGTCAACGTTGTGTTATAATCTTAATCCCTATAAAACAAACAAATATGTCAACAAAGAAAAACAAAATGGCATATAGACAAAGCACATAAGCAAAAATGAAAGACAAGAATATAAAAAATGACCACAGCACAATAACACAAAGGCGGGATGTATAAGTACATAGCCACGCCAAAAGGATATTAACACAAATGGATTAAACACTTTTTGGTTAATAATTTACAAAGACAAATAAAAGAACACTATAAAACGTAATTAATATGATAAACAACGTCAGTACCTAGAATCTATACTTCAAGACCATCATGTATCATTTGTGAAGTTGAAACGAAATATTTATCAACAAGGTCTTGGTAACTCCCGGTGAACTTTTTTAGAAACAGGACGAGACGTTCTTTGACATAACCCTGGTTCATCAACTTTCTGCTCAGACACTGGTGACGTTTTATAAAGTCTTAGAAGCAGCTGCAAACTCTTGAATACCGAATGAGTTGGGAATGTATATCCCATATGCAGGTGAAGTTGGTATATTGCTACTAAGGTGGGGGAAATTGATAATTTTAAAATTAAAATCGTCTCGTTTGTCACAGATTCTAGTACTGAGATGACCGCTTATGTCAAATTCGAGGTATGAGTCTAAAAATGAGGCGGAGGAAGCCCATCTTCGCTAGCCAAGGGTTACGATCCACTTCCCTGATACCCTTGGCTAGCGAAGATGGAGGAAGCCGTGTCTGTTGTTTCTTTAATTTCTAGTTCTGGAGGATATATTGATGGAACCCAATCAGAAAAGTTTGGATTGTTAATGGAAAGAACATCATCAATATATCTGAATGTGAAATTAAATAATCAGGCTGGCTTCTTTGATCTTCTTGTTTTTTGACAAGTGTCTGAAGGAACTCTGACTCATATGAAAATAAGAAGAGGTCGGCAAGGAGAGGCGCACAGTTCGTTCCCATAGGAATGCTGACAATTTGTTGAAAAGTCTACCTCCAAATTCAACAAATATGTTGCCAATAAGAAACTCCAGCATACTGATCACTTGTTCCTCTGTGTAGCATGTTTTACCTTTTTGTTCACTATTAACAAAATATGCCGTATGGTATCCCAAAATAATAAATTTATGGCGTATGCTTCCATTTTTATATTGAATAGCATTGTGGATTATTTCTGTTAGACGATTTTTTAATTTGACGTGGGGAATGGTGGGTATACAGGTTTGAAAAATCAAAAGTTTTTGATAGAATTTATTTCAGAGAATTTAAAATTATCCAGAAGTTCTTAAGAGTTTTTTTAGAATCCACATATGCTTAGTATCACTACGCGAATCAGTTTCACAGTATTTCTGAAGACCCTCTTTCACTATGAACAGAGTTTTTGTCAATCTAATGGACAATTCCTTTGTAGAAGATGCATAGGAGCCGGTAATAGACCAGTCTGTAACAGTCTTAACTAGTAATCGACCAGTCTATAACAGTCTCAACCTATTGTCGACCTTCTTAACCCATACTGAACCCATTGAACAATACTCGACCAATTCTTAATCAAACTAGACCAGTTTATTTCTATTCTATCTATCTTGATTTTGTGACTTACTATAATTTAAAATTATATAATACCGGTACTTGTCTCTGTTTCATATATACTTATTTCAGTATAAATATTGATTGTGTTATCAAAAAATTAAAACCCAACTAAATATTATTGCTTTACACCTCAGTGTTTGTCGTTTGTTCGTTAATATCATATTTGTCCTTCGGTTTTTTGTTTTGTATATAAATCAGGCCGTTAGTTTTTTTTTGTTTGAATTGTTAATGTTTACATTTGTAATTGCGGTATCTTTTATTGCTTGCTATGCAGTATAGGTTTTGCTCATTGCTGAAGACCACACGGTGACCCATAGTTGCAACCTCCTTTGTCATTTGGTCTCTGGTCGAGAGTTTCTTCATTGGCAGTCATACCTCATCATATTTTCATAAGTTTTGTCAATGTCTGACCAAATGTCAGACATTTTTTCTTCAATTTTTCTATGTGATCTTCGAATCTACAAGGCAAATATTGTTTTGGTCAGGCAAAATTTTTCATTTGTGTGGAGTTTGGCTGTAAATTTAAAGAAAACATTCGCAATATTTTAATATTCATGGAAAAATAAGTCGGTAATACGATTTTAAATGAAAACGGAGAGGAGTGGAACACGAGGAATTCACCTATAGAAAGATCTCAGCTGCAAACTGGTTCAGATTTTCATTTTGACTTTGATACTGAACATAAAATTATATGTTTTTAGTCATAATCATTTTGGTAGTTAAAACATTAGAATGAACGTTGTTAAAAGTTGAAATTAAGATTTCCTGCGAAAATAAGTTGACCGCTGACCGCGTAAGAAAAGTAGCCGCTGAAAAGCGTTAAAATTGTTAGAGACAGGTGACTGCTGAAAAGAGGTGGTCGTTAAGGCAAGTATGACTGTATTGCTCTTTAATGACGATTTTCCCAATTTTTGCATTTTTGTCTATTGTCATGAAGATTTTAAAAGATAAATCGACACTTTGAATATTAAAAAAAATCAGTAAGACAAGATCTGCAAATTAGTCAGCACAGATGAAATTGTTAGTTGTTTTCTTATAGGAGTTATTGCCTGTAAAAGAGGATTGTTTACCCTTTATTTGTAATTTGGGTAAAAACTATAGAAGAAACATAGGCCACTTCCTGTTTGCTGAAATTTTGAAATTATACAACACTCATTGTACAATGAAACTTTCTTTGGATTTTTCTTGGCTTCTATGGAAGGGAATGCTTTAATATTTGATTGACAGTTTGATGATTTTGAGTTATAGCGTGTTAGCAATTTTTACATCTGCTGTGCAGCTACTACCTGTTTGCCAATAGTATTAAATTTTACAACACTCATTGTACAAATTGTCATGAAAGTTTTCTTGGCTTCAATGATTTTATGGAATGATCATTTATGCTTCAGTAAATATGTTACGTCAATCAACTACATGAAGGGACGCAGGTCTATTTGTCTTGTTCGAAGTTAGGGTCTCACAGCATATGCTAGTGCCATTTTCGAAAAAAAGGCTTATAGTTAAGAACTAAGCAACACCTTTAAATATGGCTATATAACAGACCATTTACAACAATATTACTTTACTTTTCAGAGATTTAAATTTATGTGTGCCCAATGATCTGGACCTTTCATTTCTGAGAGGGAACCTCACATTTTGAAAAACAAAGGTCCAATGCCTCCCATCCTTTACGATGGTGCTTTTTGCAGGACCTATGCATTTCTCGAGGAGGGCCTTTCACTTAAAAATTCAAATGGTCCAGGACTTTACATTCTTTTTAGCAAATTTAAAAACTAACTAATTCCAACCTTCAATCCTGTAAGTACATTAAGTAGGCGGAGGTATCTGTAATCATTAGTTTATTTTATTATATGATAATAAGGAGATGAGGTATGATTGACAATGAGAAAATTATCCCTAGACCATAGACAAACATATAAACAATTATAGTTAGCCTAACAGCCTTCAACAACGAGAAAAACCCATACCATATAATCATCTATAAAAAAAAACCTGGTATTATAAAATGTGAACATTTCAAAAGAGAAAATCAACAGCCTACTACAGCAATGAAGGAAAAACAAATATTACAGACAGGTACTAACAACAACCATTTCATTACAGGTCCTGGTTGTGGACAGGCAAATAAGGAATGTGAAAAAAACCCGATTGTATCTAATGGTATTGCTCTGGTTGATTATTGACAGTGTTTTGAGAAGCTTCAATTTGAAAAAAAATATTGCTGTTATGTTTGTCTTCATGCTGGTAAATAAAACTTTTTGAAATTTTCAGGTCTGCGAAAGTGCAATAGATGTTCTTGTGTTGGATGGAAAAAATCACACCATGTTTGTAGAATGCATTTGTACCTCATTTAGGTATGTGATTAGATCTTCAATGTTTTTGATTTCAGTTCATTTAATTCAAATAGTGCAGAAAATTTGAAATAAGTTACTGTTTAAATGCTAGTTTTATTTGAATGAAATTAATTTCTGAAAATATTAGGTCAGTATTTAGGTCCATAAGGATCATGAATGTTAAATTGGTAGTAACAATAATAACTCAATAATAACTCAACAGAATTGACGACTTTCGAATTCGTGCTCTTTACCGTACATTTCCTATGTCACAATGCTTATCATATCTTGTCGATGCTTATATTATTACGTCACAGTGAGAATTGATTGTTTAATGACGTCATTTACACCAATTGACCACTGGTAAACCGGTGTAACTCATTCATAAAAAAAAATTGGTGTATCTATTGAAAATATTTTTTTTTCTATTTTAAGGATATAATGGAAAATTGGAACGAGGTAAGAGTTACTTTATAGTCAAATTGTCATGTGACTTTTTGTTCTCAATTAATTACAGAAAGTAATGATTTGAGAAAAAAAAACCTAGAAGAATTCTACATGAACTACAAAAATAGAAATTCCAAGATCACACAGATCAAACAAATAATACAAGACTGGGACGAAGAAAGATGTACTACAACATTTTACAAACTAAGTTGTGGCTAACAACAACTAATAATATTCATGAAAATCAGTATTTAGTAATTGATAACAAATAATCAGTATTCAGTATCTGATAACAAATGAAAATGCAATTTTAGCAAAAAGTCTTTGAAAAAGTCATATCTTGGTAAATTTTCTAATTCAGTTTTGTATTTTAAATAAAGGCAACAGTAGTATACCGCTGTTCGAAATTCATAAATCGATTGAGAAAAAAAAACATATCTGGGTTACAAACTAAAACTGAGGGAAACACATCATATATAAGAGGAGAACTACGACACAACAGAAACACAACATTAAAATGTAACACACACAGAAACGAACTATAATATAACAATGGCCATTTTCCTGACTTGGTACAGGACATTTTAAGAAACAAAAATGGTGGGTTGAACCTGGTTTAACAGCTATCCAAACCTCTCACTTGTATGACAGTCGCAATCAAATTCCATTATATTGACAACGATGTGTGAACAAATCCAGTTGAATCTGGCAATTATTACTATTTCTGGATATTTAAGGCTTGGTAATACAACAGTGGTGAGATCAGAGGAAATTATGATTATTTTTTTTTCAAGAAGTTATGCCCCTTTGAACTTAGAATTTAGGCTTGAATATACTACTGCAACAGTTTGTCATCGCAACTCCTGTAAAACAACACAACAGGATTTCATGAAATTTTATAGACAACAAGGACAAACTATGTAGATGTGCATATCAACAGGAAATTATGATTCAATTATTTTTCTAGGAGAAATTCCCCTTTGAACTTAGAATTTTGGTCTAAACATACTACTGCAACAGTTTGTTCAGCACAACTCTTCTGTTACCACACAACATAATTTCATGAGACTTTGTAGATAATAAGGACATATTATGTAGATGTGCAAATCGATGGGAAATTATGATTAAAATTTATATAACCGCAAAAAATTTGCGGTCGTATAATGGAATAGTGATGTTGTTGTCATCCTCGTCCGAAGACTTCTGGTTTCCTGACAATAACTTGAGTATAAGTGTATGGATCCCTATGAAACTGTACCACAAGGTTCCATACCACAAAAGGAAGGTTGAATTGAATTTGGGGGTTATGGCTTATCTGCTTAGGAATAAGGGGATAAAAAGGGATTAAAAAAATAATTTGTCTCGCCTTTTTGTCACAGTATGCTTGACATTACTATCCCACGGCGGCTATGTAAACTATTTGTATAAAGCTTTATATTTCAGAAGGTAGAAGACCTGGATGCTTTAAATCCTTGTATGCAGATACCTTATGTTACGAATATTCTGTCCGTCATTTGTCCATTGTCCTTGACGTCATTTTCATGGTTCACCGACTGCTTGAAAAAATATAGTTTTTTATCATTATCATGTGAATTTCTGACTTTTATATTACTATATTTGGTATATTGCAATGCCTACATGTCCGTCAGACAGGGTTCACCTGACCTCGACCACTTTCCATGGACCAGTGATCAAGGTTAAAGTTACGTGATTAGGTCCGTTTCTCAGATTCTATAAGCAGTAGGTCAACTATATGTGGTGTATGGAATGACTGTAAGGAGTACATGTCAGTTTCTTAGGTTTAATCTAACCTTGACCTCATTTTCATGGTTCATTGGTCAATCATAAGATTTTGTTTTTTGGTTTGTTTTTCAAGTACTTTAGGCAATAGATCAACTGTATTTGGTGAATGAATGATTGTAAAGTGTACATGTCTGTCTAGTCGGTACCATCTGACCTTGACCTCATTTTCATTGTTCATTGGTCAAAAGTTTTTGTGTTTTGGTCTGTTTTTCATATACAAATAGCAATAGGTAAACTATGTTTGGTGTATGGAATAATTGTAAGGTGTACATGTCTGTCTAAAAGGATTTTTCTTACCTTGACCTCATTGCCATGGATCTTTTAAAATGTTAAGTTTATGTGATACTTGTAGTTAAACCTTTATCTTGAAGACTTTCAACATAAAACCAATGGTCAGTAAAACAGGCGAGATATTTCAGCGTGTGCAGTCTTGTTTAAACTTTGTTTGAATTGCTTATTTTTTACCAATTTCAATGGGGTTTAAATAATCTTGAAATATTGGGGTTCTTTGATATGCTTAATCTTGCCGTGTTTAGAATTTTGATTTTGGGCCGTGTTGTCAATTGGGTCCAAATTAGGGTCCAAAATTAAACTTTGATTGATTTCAATATGCTGCATCTAATAATGTATTAAGATTTCGGAATTTGGGCCCATTTTTCAAATTGGTCCACATCAGGGTCCAAAGGGTCCAAAATAATATTTTTTTTTGTTTGATTTCAACAAAAGTTGAATGGTATGGGCCTTTGCTATGCTGAATTGCTTATATTTGATCAATTTCTTTTGTTTATTTTTTTTTACATTAAGAGTTTCCTCCCTTACAATATTTTAGCTTATAAGTTATGTCTTATTTTAAGGTATTTAGATTTTGGATATTGGACCTTAATAGTTAAAAGTCCAATTTCAAATTTTTCAGATCTTTGACCACATTTATTCTGTGTCAGAAACCTAAGCTCTGTCAAATAATTAATCACAATCAAAATTCAGAGCTGTATCAAGCTTGAATGTAGTGAACATACTTGTCCCAACTGTTCAGGGTTCAACCTCTGCGGTCGTATCAAGCTGCGCCCCTCTGAGTATTTTATTTTTATGCCCCACCTAGGGCCATTATGTTTTTCGGTCTGTGCGTCCGTTCGTTCGTCCGTCTGTCCGTCCGTTCGTTCGTTCGTTCGTTCGTCTGTCCCTATTCAGGTAAAAAGTTTTGGTTAAAGTTTTTGGTCAAGGTAGTTTTTGATGAATTTGAAGTCCAATCAACTTGAAACTTAGTACACATGTTCCCTATGATATGATATTTCTAATTTTAATCCAAAATTAGAGTTTTGATCCCAATTTCACGGTCCATTGAACATAGAAAATGATAGTGCCCGCTTCAGGTTAAAGTTTTTGGTCAAGGTAGTTTTGATGAAGTTGAAGTCCAATCAACTTGAAACTTAGTACACATGTTTCCTATGATATGATCTTTCTAATTTTAATGCCAAATTAGAGTTTTGACCCCAATTTCATGGTCCACTGAACATAGAAAATGATAGTGCGAGTGGGGCATCCGTGTACTATGGACACATTCTTGTTCTAGCAGTTATAGATATAAGAAGACGTGGTATGAGTGCCAATGAGACAACTCTCCATCCAAGTCCAAATTTAAAAAAGTAAACCATTATAGGTCAAAGTACGGTCTTCAACACGGAGCCTTGGCTCACACCGAACAGCAAGCTATAAAGGGCCCCAAAAATTACTAGTGTAAAATCATTCAAACGGGAAAACCAACGGTCTAATCTATATAAAAAAACGAGAAATGAGAAACACTTATAAACCACATCAACAAACGACAACTACTGAACATCAGATTCCCTTTGAACTTAGAATTTTAGCCTAAATATACTACTGTAACAGTTTGTCATCGCAACTCCTCTGAAACCACACAACAGAATTTGATGGAACTTTGTAGATAAGTTTGATATATCATGTAGATGTGCATATCGACAGCAAACTATGATTCAATTATTTTTAGGAGTTATGCCCCTTTGAACTTAGAAGTTTGACCTTAATTTACTACCTACTTATATAATATATAAGATATCTTATATAATCTACAGTGGCGGATCCAGAAATTTTCATAAGGGGGGCCCGCTCCAGTCATGCTGCAGTGATTCCCTATATAATCATCCAAATTTTTCCCACAAAAGGGGGGGCCCGGGCCCCCCTGGAAAACCCTCTAAATCCGCCTCTGATCTAGTTTTTATAAGATATCTGATATATTATATGAGATATCTTATATACTACATAAGATATCTCATTATATATACTTTATAAGATATCTTTAAATAAGCATAGATAGACTTTTACAACTGTGGATTCATTCATTTTCGTTTGTACCAATTTTAGTGAATTGAGGAAAAAGTGTTTTTTGCGGTTTTACAAATATCTGATACCAGCCTATAGAAAACTTGATCTTCATTGAACATTTAGATTAGTGGTTCACCAGTACCAACAAAAAATTGTATCCCACAATCAATAATGATTCAGACAGTATCTGATATAAACTTAGCTATAGAATAACAAAAGTAGGTGGGCGAGGGGTAACGAAGGGGTCAATTAAGCCATTTATGTGAGAGAAAAAAATCAAACAATTTCATAACCTATAACATGAAAGGACAAAAGGCAAAGTCCACAGAACCCTACACGAAAAGTAAAGATAAGAAGGAACAATCAATGAGTTTGAAAATATGACTTTGTAGTACAAGGATATGCTATGTCTATTTCATGATTCTATTGATGATATTTTAGTACAAGGATATGCTATGTCTATGTCTATTTCATGATTCTATTGATTGTATTTTAGTACAAGGATATGCTATGTCTATTTCATGATTCTATTGATGATATTTTAGTACAAGGATATGCTATGTCTATTTCATGATTCTATTGATTGTATTTTAGTACAAGGATATGCTATGTCTATTTCATGATTCTATTGATGATATTTTAGTACAAGGATATGCTATGTCTATTTCATGATTCTATTGATGATATTTTAGTACAAGGATATGCTATGTCTATTTCATGATTTTATTGATGATATTGTAGTACAAGGATATGCTATGTCTATTTCATGATTCTATTGATTATATTTTAGTACAAGGATATGCTATGTCTATTTCATGATTCTATTGATGATATTTTAGTACAAGGATATGCTATGTCTATTTCATGATTCTATTGATGATATTTTAGTACAAGGATATGCTATGTCTATTTCATGATTTTATTGATGATATTTTAGTACAAGGATATGCTATGTCTATTTCATGATTCTATTGATGATATTTTAGTACAAGGATGTGCTATGTCTATTCCATGGTCCTATTGATGACATTCTGGTACAATAATATGCCATGTCTATTCCATGATCCTATTGATGACATTCATTTATGAAAGGTTGAACATTTCGGTTGATATTGATAATATCAAATGTATAAATTCCAGCAATTATAGATTACTTAAGATTTCATCTCTTCCTGAATGTATATAGTCAATGACGCATTGCCATACAGGAGAATACATAATTATTGACAGTAACGACACTCACTTTTTTTATTACAATCTATTAAATGTAAAAACTATGTTTGACTTACAGAAACTTATAACAGCTGCTAATCGTGGAGATGTAGAAGCCTTAAAATTATGCCTACAAAATGATGCAGACATTGATTATCAAACGGCAAGTAAAATAGTCACAATCAAAACTATTTTAATTGAATACTTCAGAGCAAAATCATTATAAGATACGTCTTCTTATGATACATGTACATCATAAAACACACAACTTCAAGTAACTTAGAAACATGGCAGGTTGTTTATATAAATTATAAACTAACAACTACAAGTTACTTCAAAATATGGCATATTATACATAATTACCAGTATAAATAAAGGCAACAGTAGAATACCGCTGTTCGAAACTCATAAATCGATAGAGATAAAAACAAATCCGGGTTACAAACTCAAACTGAGGGAAACGCATCAAATATAAGAGGAGAACAACGACACAACAAAAACACAACATTAAAATGTAACACACACAGAACCAAACTATAATATAACAATGGCCATTTTCCTGACTTGGTACAGGATATTTTAATAAAAAAAATGGTGGTTTGAACCTGGTTGTGTGGCATGCCAAACCTCCCGCTTTAATGGCAACGTCAAACACAACACCAAAACGACAACATCACATGACAGGACCACAATACAAATAAATGGGAGAACATATAGGACAAAGAAACACACGAATAATAGCTAACAAAAGGTACTAGGCTTAAAACACACAACTAGAAGTTACTTCGAGTCATTGCAGGTTGTACTTAAACTGTGTAAAACACACAACTATATGTTACGTCAAGACAAAGCTGATTGTACATAACCAGTATAAATCGCACATATACTTCAGAACTTGGCAGCTTGTACATCAGCAGTATAAAATGCAAAACTGATTCTACTTCAAAACATGGGATATTGTACATAAACAGTATAAAACTTACAACTGCAAGTTACTTCAAAACATAGCTGATTTTCCTTAAGCAGTATACACAAAAGTATCAAAGCACACCACTGAATTTGAATTATATCTGTTATTAAAGCACACCACTGAATGTGAATTCTACCTGTTATTAAAGCACACCATTGAATGTGAATTTACCTATTATCAAAGCACACCACTGAATGCGATTTTTGTCTTTTATCAAAGCACACCATTGGCTGTAAATTAAACCTGTTATCAAAGCACACCACTGAATGTGAATTCTACCTCTTATCAAAGCACATCACTGAATATGAATTAAACCTGTTATCACAGCACACCATTGGATGTGAATTCTACCTGGAATCAAAGCACTTCACTGAATGTAAATTATAGCTGTTATCAAAGCATACCATTGAAAGAGAATTTTAAATTTTGTCAAAGCACACCATTGAATGGGAATCATACCTATTATCAAAGCACACCATTGAATGTGAATTTTATGTGAAAAATACCTATTATCAAAGCAAACCATTCAGTAGGAATTCTACCTGATATCTAAGGAAACCAGTGAATGTGAAGTTATACCTATTATCAAAGCACCACATTTTATATTAATTCTATAAGAATCTTAACTATTATCAAAGCCCAACATTGAATATGAATTATACCTGTTATCTAAGGACACCAATGAATTGAATTATACCTATTATCAAAGCACACCACTGAATGTGAATTCTACCTGTCATCAAAGCACACCAGTGAATGTGAATTATATCTGTTATCAAAGCACAAAACTGAATGTAAATTTAAACTGTCATCAAAGCAAACCACTGAATGAGATTAATACCTCAATATCAAAACGCACAATTTAATAACAGGTAGAAGTAACAATTCAATGGTGTGCTTTGGTAACAGGTACAATATCACATTAAAAAGTAAAATCACAAAAATACTGAACTCCGAGGAAAATTCAAAAAGGAAAGTCCCCAATCAAAAGGCAAAATCAAAAGTTCAAACACATCAAACGAATGGATAACAACTGTCATATATTCCTGACTTGGTACAGGCATTTTCTTATGTAGAAAATGGTGGATTGAACCTGGTTTTATAGCTAGCTAAACTTCTCACTTGTATGACAGTCGCATCAAATTCCATTATATTGACAACGATGCGTGAACAAAATGAATAATAAGAGTTCAAAAAGTGACGCGACCCAAATGCGAACTTGATCTGTATTTTGTGATAATAAGCGTTGTGTACAAGTTTCATAACATTTGGTTGAAGCAAACTAAAGTAAGAGAACGGAAACCAATTTTGGGACGGACAGACAAGGGGAACACTTACTTAACAGGTACAATTCATATTCAATGTTGGGCTTTGATAATAGTTAAGATTCTTATAGAATTAATATAAACCTTCCATCCTTTATGGGTGGATTTTACATAGATAAATAAAATCGTATAATATAAGCAAAATGAGGATGTTAAATTTGATGTTTGCCTTTTTGTGCTTCTTCGTTACATTTGTTTGTTTTTATAGTGATTAAGATGATAACACAATGTTGACTGCTGTACCCCTATTTTGACATTTTTACCTATTGTGTCTGTTTGTTTTGTTCACGCATCGTTGTCAATATAATGGAATTTGATGCGACTGTCATACAAGTGAGAGGTTTAGCTAGCTATTAAACCAAGTTCAATCCACCATTTCTACATAAGAAAATGCCTGTACCAAGTCAGGAATATGACAGTTGTTATCCATTCGTTTGATGTGTTTGAACTTTTGATTTTGCCATTTGATTGGGGACTTTCCTTTTTGAATTTTCCTCGGAGTTCAGTATTTTTGTGATTTTACTTTTTAATGTGATATTCTACCTGTTACCAAAGCACACCATTGAATGTGACTTCTACCTATTATCAAAGCACACCAGGTTGTCTGATTTGATACAGGCTCAAAATGTGGAGATTTTAAACCATTATTGTTTTTGCACAATCCACTCTTTACATAACTTAACCATTGGTATTAAAAGAAAAACACATGGTGAATAAATGGAGAATGTGTCCATGGGACAAAGATGATGCCCCCGCTTGCATATAATGTTATAAAGGGTCATAACTCGAGAACAGTAAAAGTGACGCGACCCAAATTCGAACTTGATCTGTATTTTGTGATAATAAGCGTTGTGTACAAGATTCATAACAATTGGTTGAAGCAAACTAAAGTAAGAGAACGGAAACCAATTTTGGGACGGACAGACAAGGGGAACACTTAATGCCCCCTCCGGTGACGGCGGGGGCTTAAAAACCTGCACAGTTTAACTACCATTGGTCTGTATGGAAACTGATACACACATCATTAGACTGAATCAACATTAGATCTAAATTCTGTTTTTAATCAGACAATTTTAATGGATGAATTGCATGAAGGGGTTTTCATTAAATACTTGTCTTTCTGTTCTGAACTATAGATGGTGAAAGTTGTTATTTTGCTTTTTGACAAGAAACATTTTTTACTCTAAGATTTTACTTAATATTGTGTTAACAACTTTAGTTAGCTTAGTTGTATTTATACAGATCTAATGATACAACATCTTGTAAAAATGATAAATAGTCGTTAGATTCATATAACGTGTGATCCCATTTTACTCATAATATTTTTCTGAATCAGAAAATATAACCTTTTTTCGTGTTTCTTTGAAAAAATTATTTTATCACAATCAATTATTATACTGAATCTGCACTAAATTCTGCTGTTATTCATAATCAGAAAGTTTTAATTAGTGTGACTGTTCATTTTTGTTTATATTTATTACTCAACATTGTCCAGTTCAGCAATCAAGTTTTGAAGTCAGTTGTATTATTCCAGGGTAGAGGATTAACTGCATTAATGTGGGCTGCCAGGGGAGGACACCTGGAGGTAACTCAACTACTCCTTGAGAAAGGATGTCAAAAAGAAACCACAACGGTATGTTAGATATTATCTCCTCAGTCTCATCACATTCAGCTTAAGAAAATCAACACAAAATCATGTTGGTGATTAGACAAGTTTAATAGACTGTTAACAAATACTCATTAGCATCATATAAATATGGGTCTCCTTTTACTTGTTGAATTGTTCTGAATCAGGAAATTTAACTCTTTTTACATTTCAGTGTTACTGTTTAAAAAAATGATCATTATTCTGAATTATTTCAATCAGACATATCTAATCATTATATAAAAAAATACTTGCTAGAATTATATAAAATGAGGTCTCATTTTTATCCTTCAGTTGCACTGAATCCATTTATATTAATATTCTATACATTTCTTCAAAAAGAATTTTTTTTAACTGGACTGTTCTAAATGAAAGTTCAAACATCTCACAAAAACATGTTGTTTATTTGTTATTTATGTAGAATATAAAAACAAGTGTGACTAGTCATTTTATTCATTTTGACCACTGATTCATGTGATATATATTTCGTTTATATTTATTATACATCATTGTCCAGTTTACATCAGACATGTTTTAATTTCAGCTGTAGGATATATTGTAAATTATTGATATTTATAGCAAAGTATTGTCCATAATATTTACATGTTATTTGGTACTATTAAAGGATGATGGAAGTACAGCTTTACATTTTGCTGCACAGTATGGATATCTACAGGTCACAAGATGTCTAGCAGAAGAAGGAGGTATCAGTCCCTTTGTTAAGACAAATCGGCGGGTAATATTTTATAGTATATGCCAAGTATTTAATAAAGTTATGAATCACTTAGATGATGTTTAAAATCTGTTCGGTCCAATGTGTGTTTTATTACTTTTTGAAGGTTACTGTTAACTAAGATAAAACACATAACTCATATTTCTTGCAAATTAGAATATTACGGACCAGTCTATATGCTTTGAACATTGCTGTTTGTATAGAATTCAGTTACTGGTGAACAATCATGTTGCATCTTATGAAAATAATAATAAACTACATGGTTGATCTAATGATAGCCAGCTGTTTCCTTACAGTGCCTGTGTTAAACCTGACTAAAGAGTTAGTATTCTGTGTCCATCTAATTTGTTGATGGAAAAAAGCTTAGACTTATTGGCTCCGAATCAAAATTATATTGCTGCATACGATGAAGTGATGAAAAGAGTTGAGGGCTCAAAAACTAAGATGAAATACAACTCAGCTGTTACTGGTATAAAGTGATGATCAGAACTGAGGGGTCATGGAATGTAATAAAATACTACTCGGCTTGCACTGGTATGAAGTGATGATCAGACCTGAGGCTCACTAAATGAAATAATATACCACTTAGCTGTTACTGGTATGAAATAATGAATAGAGCTGAGGGGTCACAATATAGAATAAAATACAACTCAGCTGTTACTGGTATGAAGTGATGATCAGAGCTTAGGGGTCATTAACTAGAATAAAATACCACTCAGCTGCCACTGGTCTGAATTGATAACCAGATCTAAGGGATCACAAAATGAAATAAAATACCACACAGCTGCTATTGATATTAAGTTATGATCAGAGCTGAGAGGTCACACACTAGAATGAAATACCACTCAGCTGTCACTGGTATGAAGTGATGATCAGAGCAGAGGGATCACAAACAAAAATGAAATACCACTCAGCTGTTACTGGTATGAAGTGATAACCAGATCTATGGGATCACAAAATGAAATAAAATACCACACAGCTGCTATTGATATTAAGTTATGATCAGAGCTGAGGGTTCACAAACTAAAATGAAATACCATTCAGCTGTCACTGGTATGAAGTGATGATAAGAACTGAGGGGTCACACAATAGAATGAAATACCACTCAGCAGTCACTGGTATGAATTGATGATCAAACCTAAGGGGCCACACTCTAAAATTAAATACCACTGAGCTGTTACTGGTATGAAGTGATGATCAGAACTGAGGGGTCATGGAATGTTATAAAATACCACTCGCCTTGCGCTGCACTGGTATGAAGTGATGATCAGGTCTGATGCTTACTAAATGAAATAAAATACCACTCAATTGTTACTGGTTTGAAGGGATAATTAGAGCTGATGGGTCACAAAATAAAATAAAATACCACTCAACTGTTACTGGTAAGAAGTGATGATCAGAGCTGAGGTGTCACAAAATAAAATAAAATGCTACTCAGCTCTTACTGTTAAGAATTGATGATCAGAGCTGAGTTGTTATGAAATAAAATAAAACACATTTCAACTTTACTGATATGAAGTGATGATCAATGCTGAGGGGTCACAGAATGAAATAAAATACCATTCAGCTGTTACTGGTAAGAATTGATGATCAGAGCTGAGGGGTCATAAAATAAAATAAAACACATTTCACCTGTTACTGGTATGAAGTGATGATCAGAGCTGAGGTGCCACAGAATGAAAAAAAATACCACTCAGCTGTTACTGGTAAGAAGTCATGATCAGATCTGAAGGGTCACAGAATGAAATAATATACCACTGACCTGACACTGGTATGAGGTAAGGATAAGAACTGAGATGCACTAAAGGAAATAACATACCTTTTAGCTGTTACTTGTATTAAGAATATAAATGTTTCAAAACAGATCTGTTATATTTATATAACTCGAATTAAAATTTGTAAAACTGCCGATATTTAATATTCTGAATTACATGATTAAATTTCACAATGTTAACGATAACGTCCCAGGGATAATCCCTGATGATCGAAGGTGAAACCGGTAGGATAGTGTACGTAATCGTTAAATTTTGTGAAATTTGATTATGTTATTCAGAATATTAAATATCGGCATTTTTACAAATTTTAATTTTATTTATATTTACGCAAGTTTATGAACATTTATCTATATATATGATATATATATTTATATTTTGCACTGATTTTAGGGTAAAACTCCATATGATTTAGCAGCAGCCAGACTTGAGAATGATCCAAGTAACAAAGAAGTAATGGAATACTTGCAGGTACAAATGTTTGTCTGAATTACAAATTCTTACTTTAATAAAAAGGTTACATAGTTGTTATAACAGAATTACACGATATCACACAATATTGATTTGATGCACCATATGGACATAATTTTACTTTGTGGCGTTCAAAATAAAATTTTAGAAATATCAAAGTGTAAAGAGTAATACAAGCAAATATAGCAAAAAGGAGAATGCTTAAACCAATTTTTGCACTTCATGTTACGCCCTCTGTAAATTTTTTAATATCAAAAGTAAAATCCATATAGTTCACCTGGATTTGTTACCATGTTTAATGTACTCTTTGGGATTTGCAGCCAACCAAAGTGTCCATCCAAACTGTGGTAGAAAACAAAATTACAGTTTATGATGTTAAGTAATGGTAGGTCAATTATATTTGGCATGCAGTTGTATTAGCATCGACACGTCTCATTTTCTTGGTGAATCCCTCAGTCATGGTCTAATAACTTTTGAACTTTTGTTTATTTTACATGTTTTAGTTTGTGATTAGGTCTGTTTAAGGGGAACCATAAGTGGTAGGTCAATGGTATATTATATGCAAATGTATTAATTAGCATCGGCCTATCTCGTTTCCATGAAGATTATTTGGCTGTGCCCCCTTCGTTATGGGCTATAGATTTACTATGTAGATGTGCATATCCACAAGAAATCTTTATCAGTTGACTTTTGTAGCAGTTATGAGTCTTTGAACTTAGGAATCTGGTGATATTTTGTTTGCCTAGTGACAATGTGGAGGCGTGGTGTGTGTGAGCGTGCTCACAAAGGTTTTTTAATTTTTATAGTAATTTCAGTGTTCAAACAGGTTGATTGCAAAAATAGATAAAAATATGAAAGTAAGTGTGTCACAATAACAGAAGCTCTCTTCTAGCTGTTTGGTAAATTTCTGGCCAGTGTAATATTTTTTATTTGATGAAACTTCTGTGAGTTCATATTTTTCAGTGAATCCCAATAGATGTCGTCACAGAAAAGTCAGTGACAGAATTAAATATAACCTAGTTTTGTGATATGGTTGTATGATGATCAGGGTTATTTAATTGTTTGACTTTATAATTTTTACTCTTGTATTATGCTAGGTAAATGATTTCAGGTCATTTTGTTACCATATAAAAATTCCACCATTATAACACTATGTATTGAATGTATTATTGACGGTATTTTTATTTTACTTTTGTAGTCTCTGATGTCAAAAGATGGGCAAGATGTCAGCCAGAACACCTCTGGGAAGATACAGGAAATACAAACAGTTGAAGGTTGTACTTATTAACATTCTATTCTAATCTATTTGACCGTCATAGAGGAGATGTATTATGGTACACCCTTGTCCGTCTTTCTGTTCACCCACTACTGTTATGACTCGCTGTCTCTCGTCCAGAGAATGCTTTAATCAAATCTCATGAAACATTTACGGAATATTTAAAACGATGGAATAGATGTTCACTTTGATTTTCAAGAATGTGTTTGTTTGTCGTTCTCCCTTAGATCTATGCTCCTTTGTTATTATCTAAATTTGTACCGCTTTTACTCTATCCTCTATGGTGCCTGTAATTTATGACCTGGTTTTATCTTGCATCAGCAACATCACCAATGTCACATGTGGAGCAGGACATAGTACACTTCCTAGAGCACCTGAGTTCACACATGTATTTGATAGGTTTTATGTCTGGTCTGCGACGACCATGATTACCTAATCTATTTGAATAAAGCTTCATATTTCAGAAGGTGGAAGACCTTGATTCATTCTTCAAAGCATGAATACAGACGATGCTCTGTGTTACGAAATTTCTGTCAGCCATATGTCCTATGTCCTTGAACTCATTTTCATGGTTCATTAAGTGCTTAAAAAATTGTTTAACACATGAATTTCTCGCTTATGAGTAATAATGATTTTTTTTCATTTTTTTTCTGAGTTATGGGACTTGACTAGAAGATTTAAGGAAACATTTTACATGTTGTGAAATTGATCAATTAACTCACTACAAGTGTTCATTTCATTTAAATGGTTGTTGGTATTAGGGAAAGTAAGTACCCTTTTGTTTTTACTGATTCTTATATAAAACGCCTATAATTTTCCATTTTATTCTTGCAACCATTTTAATATTCATACAAAGGTTGTATCTTTCTCTCCTGTTGCAACTGTTCACTTTGTTATGATCTTATTTCTATTATAATGGAAAAGAAAGGATGTAGTATTTCAAATAAAAACACAAAATCAACACTGCAACTGAAAAAACTAAAAGCAAAGTAAGAACGCTTTTATTGCCGTTTTTCATTTCACAGTTAGGCCTTCAACTTTAAACCAAAACTCTTCTCCTAATCACTGCAAAGTCAAGATGGCTTTTATCACAGAATCTCTTTACTAGAAGTTCGATGACACTTCATCAGGTGAGTGCATTTAGGAAAACAACTGCAGGATAATATCAAATTATGAAATATATTTGGCAAAGAAATCTTAAAAATACTTTCATGAATTGCCCTACACTTTCACTGTAAAATGGGAAAACCATTTAAAGGTAAATACAGTGCATATAAAGATAAAAGTTAGATAACTTGACAGTAAACATATATGAAAAGGACATAATAGGCACCTTTATTGCTGTTTCTCATCTCAAACAGTCATAATGAAGCCTTCAACAAAAAGTCTCATATGACTGTAAGTTTAAGATAGCCCTTAACTATTGTTTAAACGTTTAATTTTGCTAAAATTTAAATATTTAATATTTACAAACAATGAAAACAGGTACACAACAGAATGCTTATATCAAAAGAATTTGAGTAAGACATTTTTCTTTGTTATAAAAATAACTCCATATCTTTGTAGATCAAGTTCCAACTGAAATAAAACTAATGACTGACAAAAGATCTGTTGAATTGTACCTTAAATTACTTGAGTCAGGCTCTGAGAAAAAGAGAGACATACGTTTAGTTATAGTTGGGAAGAAAGGTGCTGGAAAGACCTCATTGATTAAAAGATTGTTTGGTGAAGATAGTACAGATGTTACCAGTACAAATGGCATTGAAATTCACAAAATTAAATGCAAAGCAAAATCGGATGATGGAATATGGAATAAATTAGATAGTATGAGGGTTAAAGTTAAAACAGATATTTCTCTATTCTCAACTATGTAGAGTTTTGAATCTATGAATTGAACAAGTCCGACATACTGCATGTTAAAATCAGAGCTGTATAGACAAAATGTATCTTTTATGGACACCTATGGACACAATTGAGATCAACAAGCTGTGGAAAATCATATGTCAGGTTTAAGTTTTATTGTCCCGCCTCAGAAAGCAGTATACTTGTCAAACGGTGGTAACGCCACAGTAGCTCTTTTATAAAGCTTCATATTCCAAAAGGTTGAAGAGTTGGTTTGTTATTATCTAGTATACTAATGCCTAATGATCTGAGTTTTCAGTCTGGCATATATCTGTTGTTTTAGGCTCTGGGGTTTCAGACTGGCATACATCTGTTGTTTTATGATCTGGGGTTTCAATCAGGCATATATCTGTTGTTTTAGGCTCTGAGTTTTCAGTCTGGCATATATCTGTTGTTTTAGGCTCTGGGGTTTCATTCTGGCATATATCTGTTATTTTTAGGCTTTGGGGTTTCAGTCTGGCATATATCTGTTGTTTTGTGCTCTGGGGTTTCATTCTGGCATATATCTGTTGTTTTAAGATCTGGGGTTTCAATCTGGGGATATATCTGTTGTTTTAGGCTCTGAGTTTTCAGCCTAGCATATATCTGTTGTTTTAGGCTCTGGGTTTCAGTCTGGCATATATCTGTTGTTTCTAAGGATCTGGGGTTTCAGCTTGACATATATCTGTTGTGTTTAAGCTCTGTTAAGTTTCATTGTAAGATATACCTGTCCAACCTACAGGATTCCCCTCATTAAAATATTCATGTAATGGTAATGTGATTAACTTTAAGTTTTCATATTATGTCCTTTTCTCAGATACTGAAGGTACCAGGTCAACCTCTTTTTTGTAGGGTTTATCTGAGCTTGACTTCCATTTTCTGGTTCTTTGGCCAACATTACTTTTTCATGATTAGGTCTATTCTTTGATACTATAAGTAATGAGTCAACTACATTTGGTGTATAGAACAATTGTATGGTGCACATATCCATATGGATGGGTTTATCTGACCTTGACCTTATTTTCATGGACCATTTATTGTGCAAAGATTATTTATACCTGTATTATGACATTAACATAGATGTAAAGAAATATGGTCATCTGTTAAATTGGTTTTCTTCTGACCGGAAGTGTAACCCTTGCCAAAGTGGGGTGTCCATTGGCTATGCGGGATGAATAAATTCGCAGCCCGTTCGGTCAGAATGGGGATGTTAAATCCAACGTTTCTTGTAGAGAGAATGCTATGCTTTCTGCACACTAAGAACCCATGTAACAAAACTTTACAGGGTCTGTATGTGACCTGATGCAAGACTAACTTTCTGTCCCTGTCCAATGTAGCATCATTTACCAGTGTCATTTCAAAATTGATACCTATCATCCCAATCAACCCCCTATTGGAGGACCTGTATACTGTATGTATTGTTAATTTGTTCTCGTCCTGAACATGCATGAAATATTTACCTCTGAATGTTAAGCAAACAGCAATCAATCAGTTAATCTTAACGACATTCAACATCAAATTCAATCATATCAGTTACACAGGCTAGACATTTCATTGTATGCAATTTTTTATATTCATCTGACCTAACCTTACCCCTATACATAGTTGGCAAAACTTCAATATTTCTGTCAGACACAGGACTAGACATTTCAGTGTATTCACATCTGACCTTTACCTAGACCCTTATACATAGTTTGCAATGCTTTATTTCTTTCTGTCATACACAGGACTGACAAAAAGAAAACTTTTGCTGGTCCTTCAATTTTAGTTTACACGGCCTTTAGGGCCAAGTGAGCTTTTCTCATTTGGCGTCCGTCGTCGTCGTCCATCGTTGTCTTCCATCAACTTTTACAACAATCTTCACCTCTGAAACTACCAGACTAATTTAACCAAACTTAGCCACAATCATCATTAGGGTATCTAGTTTAAAATTGTGTCCGATGACCCCGTCTGCCGACCAAGATGGCCGACATGGATAAAAATAGAAAATAGGGGTAAAACGCAAGTTTTGTCTATTATTTGTAAACCATTATAAATAGAGAAAATCTGACAGGGGCAAACATGTTCAGAATGTTGAGCTCTACCAATTGTCCATTTATGTCAGAACTGTCAGGGGACTTCTTATAGAAGTTATTGCCCTTGAATGACACATTTTACCATTTTTTCATTTTCCCTTTTATCTTGAAAACTATAATAGATAAAGAGAAACCTTAAATTGCTAAAATGCAAGACAAGATCTACAAATAAATCTACATGGTAGAAATCGTCAGTTGACTCCTTTTTAATGTTATTGCCCTTTGATATACTTTTTTTTTTTTTTTTTTACTTTTTTGCCTTATATCTTAACTAAGGGCTCTAAAGAGCCTGTGTCGCTCACCGCTCATCTTGGTTTATGTGCATATCAAACAAAGGACACTCTCCAACATTGTAGACGAGAATAGACTGCATGACAAAAATCTCTATTGTGTTGATCTTTTATTACTGATCTTTTAGTCTGTTTAGTTTCTCTCTATCTTCTTTAGTTTTTGCTCAAAATGCAAAAGAGGGTTAAAAAAAACATCATTTAAGGGCAATCACTCCTATGAAGAGTGACAGTCTACTAACTGTATCGGCAAAATTTGACTTTTTAATAGATCTTGCCTTGCTGATCATTTTTGTGATTTAAAGTGTTTATTTATCTTTTATAATTTAAATCATATAAGGAATAACGGGGGAAAATGTTTCTCTCTAAATATCATAGTTTTCATGATAATAGGCAAAAATGAAAAAAATGGTAAAATTTGTCATTTATGGGCAATAACTCCTATAAGAATTTGTCTAACAGTTTTGACGTAAATGGACAATTGGTAGAGCTAATTATTTTGAACATTTTTGCTCCTTTCAGATTTTCTCTATTTATAACGTTTCAAGAAATAATAGACAAAACTTGCATTTTACCCCTATGTTCTATTTTTAGCCATGTTTTGGTTGGTAGGCGGGGTCATCGGACACATTTTTAAACTGGATACCCTAATGATGATTGTGGCCAATTTTGGTTAGATTTGTCTCAGTAGTTTTAGAGAAGATTTTTGTAAAAGATTACAAAAAATTTACAAAAAATTGTTAAAAATTGACTATAAAGGGCAATTATTCCCTAAGGGGTCAATTGACCATTTTGGTCATGTTGACTTATGTGTAGTTCTTACTTTGCTGAACATTATTGCTGTTTACAGTTTATTTCTACCTATAATAATATTCAAGATAATAACCAAAAACGGCAAAATTTACTTAAAATTACCAATTCAGGGGCAGCAACCCAACTACGGGTTATCTGATTTGTCTGAAAATTTCAGGGCTGATAGATCTTAACCTGCTGAAGAATTTTACTGAATCAAATTTGCTCTAAATGCTTTAGTTTAAGAGATATAAGCCAAAATCTGCATTTTACTCCTATGTTCTATTTTTAGCCTAGTCGACCATGTTGGTTGGCAAGCGGGGTCATCGGACACATTTTTAAACTAGATATCCTAATGATGATTGTGGCTAAGTTTGGCTAAATGTGTCTCAGTAGTTTCAGAGGAGAAGATTTTTTTAAAGATTACAAAAATTTACAAAAAATTGATAAAAAATTACTATAAAGGGCAATAACTCTTTAAGGGGTCAATTGACTATTTAGGTCATTTGCCTTATTTGTAGATCTTACTTTGCTGTACATTATTGCTGTTTACAGTTTATCTCTATCTATAATAATATTCAAGATAATAACCAAAAACGGCAAAATTTACTTAAAATTACCATTTCAAGGGCAGCAACCCAACTGCGGGTTGTCTGATTTGTCTGAAAATTTAAGGGCATATAGATCTTGGCCTAATTAACAATTTTACTGAACAGATTTGCTCTAAATGCTTTGATTTCAGAGATATAAGCCAAAATCTACACTTTACCCCTATGTTCTATTTTTAGCCATGGCGGCCATCTTAGTCGGCGGGCCGTGTCATCGGACATATTTTTCAAACTAAATACCCCAATGATGATTGTGGCCAAGTTTGGTTAAATTTGGTCCAGTAGTATCAGAGTAGAATATTTTTGTAAAAGTTGACCTTATCAATGTTCAAGTCCTTCAAACTATTGGGGTCGTTTTTATTTTCATGTGCCTACGGCGAAAGTAGCCCGCCACTCCGCCATTTCTTCAACTAGCTCTAAATTCTAAATGACCACAATTAGTATGGGTAAAAAACAATGACCCTTTTTATCTTTACGAAAAAATCGTAATCAGTCCGGCTCAAATGAGAAATAGGAGGACCTGGTGAAATTTTGGTGGTCAGGAATGACAGGTGTGACGATTTTCGCAAAGTCTGCCTATATATATTTAGCTCACCTTGCCCATTGGAGCAAATATACTCATTTCATAACTTGGCATTCGGCATACTCTGTTAACTTTTGCAAAAATCTTTTCTAAAACTACTGGGCATATAGGAACCTAATTTTGCCACAATCATCATTGGTCTATTTACTTTATAAAATGTGTCTTATGATCCTGTCTTCCAACGAACATGGCAAACAAAAATAAAAATTGAACATAGGGGTAAAATGCAAGTATCGTCCATATTAACATTAAGATCTACATACTGTATATTTGACAAGTTTGAGTTGTTGCCCTTATATAAAGATTTGGTCGATTTTATTTTGGCATTTTCCAAAATAAAAAAAAATATTGTGTAACTGTTTATTGCTTATTTTATACCTTTATCTGAATAAACATTTTTTCTGCGGGGAGTCTAAATTAGAATTGATAGATTTTTTTAATAATTTGCCAAAATTATGTGTATATTATGCTTTTTTCAAAATTCTGATAAAAAGTATGTGTCACAGAACTTTTTTGAAGGTTCAGGTTGTACCAAATTGTCAGATTTTCTATAGATTATACATGTCAAAACTAATTTTGAATGATAGAAAGTAAACTAAAAGATAGAATTTTAAGATGAAATATGAGAAGATAGCCCTGATCATGCCGATAATGAATGCTTTCAAAAAATCAAAATTGGGGTGACAGGACTCATTTTCTTGCTACCGAACAAAATATGTAAATTTACTACACATTCTATTTTAATAGTTTGGTAATCTGAGTTATCACCCCTTATATGGCAATGTTGAAAAAAATTGAATCAAACAAAAATATTCTTTAAATGTGAAACAGTTCTAATAATAAGATAAAACACATAAATTTCCTCATTTAGTATGTTTAGATGAAAAATCTTACAAATGAATTGCATTCCTATCTCAAAATTTGCATGTATATGAATATTTCATTAAAGATGTTGGCCGATTGTTTTTCTGCTATTTTACAATCCAAGATGACAAAAGACACCCGATCTATTTTAAACAGAATATCAGAAAGAAAGAAAAAACAATAAGTGTATTTTCTAATGGTAGGAAACTATGAAGAAACTGAAACGCATGCAAGACTATTGAAAGAATATGAGGAAAAACTTCATGACAAAGGAACAAAAGAAGAACCAATAGAATCCCACATTGCCATTAAGGAAAATACACCAGCAACATCTTTTGATGAGTCAAAGAAATCAGGGACAGTACAGTACCAACAGCCTGAAATGATAAAATCTCGAGAAGCAACTAAACATCAAACAGAACCTCCAGTAACCACCCAGCAGCCAAACCAATCATTTGAACAAGCAGAAAGGGATTTTGAAACCATGATTTACGCTGAATCTGTTGATTTACATGACAAAGAGGAGTATGCTACATTACTGTTATGGGATTTTGCAGGAGATGAAGAATTTTACCACACACATCAAACATTTCTCTCCCCAGATGCAATTTATTTTGTTGTTACAAAACTCAATGAGGCTGATGACCCTAATGCACAAGGTAATTTTTCATCTAGATCAATAATTAAGTAATTAAATTGATATTTGGTATTGTTTCTAAAATTTAAAGATAACAGACCTAAAGAATAATCAGTTCATTTGTAATTATAAAGTTTGCTAATTGTAATCAAGTTTCTGCGATATGGGCTGATATTTAAAGCTTCATTCAAGTTTCAAAATCTTAATAAATATATTGTGACTTGAAAGGATTATAATGTGTGACTATCATTCTTTTAATATTGTTCTATAAAATGGACCTTAAGTTTGAAATTTAAATTAATTACGTTACTAGATGTTTCTTAACACTTAAAATTATATTACTGCGGATTCATTAATTGTCGTGGATTGTGGAAAACTTGCATTTTCGTGGACATTTTATTTCGTGGTTTTGCAGATCTCTGCATACAAAGCCTATAGTAAATTTGTAATTCGTTGAACATTTGAATTCATGGTTCACCTGTACCCACGAAATCCACGAAAATTGGTATCCAACAAATAATTATGAATCCACAGTAGTTTATTTTTATGGCCCGCTACAAAGTTGTCAGGGCCATATAGTTTTACCCTTATCCGTCATTCCGTCATTCTGCAACGAACAGTTATACCGACTTTTTTTCAAAACGCCTTCACATATTGTATAGCCCCGCAATAAAGTTGTCGGGGCCATATAGTTTTACCCTTATCCGACATTTCGTCATTCTGTCATTCCGCAACGAACAGTTATACGGACTTTTTTCTAAACGCCTTCACATATTGAGCCGATTTTTAGAATGTGAGTCTGCTATGATGAGTTACAGATCGAGTTTATATTTGGTTCCGCTCCGCTTCTTTCGCCGAAATTACGGTCTTTGGACTTTGAAAATTTTGTGAAAATAACAGTTATACGGACCTTTTTTCTAAACACCTTCACATATTGAGCTGAATTTTAAGTATGTAAGTCTACTCTGATGAGTTACAGATCGAGTTTACGTTTGGTTCCAATCCATTGATTTTTGCCGAAATTACGGGCTTCGGACTTTGAAAATTTTGTGAAACAATTATATCGACTTTCATTCTCAAATTTCCACTCCTAAAAATGGCTTCAAGCTTTTTTTGCAAGCGGGGCCATTCGTGTCGTTCCGACACGTCTAGTTATAAAAGAAAGGTGACGTGATAAACTGGTTGTATACATTGTACAGGCATATAAAGCAACAATGTTAGGTGTAAGTTTTCGTCAAGTCGGTTGTGTTTGATGAAACTGACAGCTTATAAATGAAATAAAAAAATGAAATAATGAATAAAGTATCAGAGAAAATAAGTTAGTTTACAGTAGTTGGATTAAGTGATATATTAATTATAGGAATCCATAATACATTGTAGACATTGGCTATTTTAAAGCAAGATGGCTTTAATAATTCCATAATTATTCTGGGTGAATTTTATAACTTCTTCCACTCCTGTTATCTGTACAAAGCACCTTGTAGGATTAAAAAACAGTGGTAAAATAATAAAGAAATTTTAGGATATTTAATCGAATATCAATTCACGGTGGCCTTTAGCTGTATATTACATCCTTGTCCTTTGGGCTTTGGAGGATTGTTGCAATATTAGCAATCATACCTCATCTCCTTACATCTATAAAGAACCTTGTTTAAAGCTAAAACAGGAGGGGTTATATGTCCTGCTGACCTAAAATCTCACATGAAAAAATTCCTAACATAATTAAAAATGCAATAATACTTAAAACAAAATATTTAGCATTGTGAATTTTCAGTTATAAATTTAAAATTGTACATGCGTGTGTACTACAGATAGGAATTATTAGGTACAGTAATTCACAGTTATAACTATAATTTTCATAACAATATTTCAAAGAATCCAGAAACACTCTCACAACTTCTTTGAGGAGGAATCCTCCAGGAGAACATAATTTAATTAGGAAATATTTTCGTGGACAGTATTCCACAGTGAAATATTTTTAAGCCGAATTGGACAAAATTTAACCGAGAAGGACACTATTTCATATTGAAATATTGTCCTGGACAGTTTTCACAGTATTTCAACATATCTTTATCTTTAACGGGAAGCTAAATACCAAAATTTATGATAAAAGAGATGATTTTTCATTTCCTATTGTTAATTATCCATTTTTAGATGGTGACATTCCCTTGTCGCCATCTATTTGTGTTTATATATCTCAACTTGTTCGATTCGCTCGTGTATGTAACAACGTATTTGATTTCAACGAAAGAAATCTCTGTATAACTGAAAAATTATTACACCAGAGTTTTCGATATCACAAACTAGTCAAAACATTTACTAAATTTTATCATCGGTACAAGGAAATCATTCGTAAATACAAATCAACATGCAGACATCTTATACGTTCAGGTATTTCACATCCAATATTTTATGGTAATATTCTTTACAAAGCACAAAAATGTCGGCATTCACCTCAAAAGCTAACCAAACCTTTAAACAGACTTATTCGGAAAGGATATAGTTACGATACTGTTGTCAAGTCATTAAGGATTGCATGTTTTGGTATTAATATTGATTCACTCATAGGGTCTTTGCATCGGAAATAAACACATTTATTTTAAAACCTGTTGTTGGCATGATACGGATTATGTTCTTCTCATATATTTTATGATGGTATGATACTAAACCCCAAACAGGAGGGATTGTACTTGATTTTCATATGATGAAGACATAATCTTTCAATCAGTTTAATCGAGGTCTGGAGCTGACATGTCAGTAACTGCTAGTAATCCTTTGTTCATTTATGTATCATTGTCATTTTGCTTTGTTTCTTTTGTTACCTATTCTGACATCGGACTCGGACTTCTTTTTAACTGAGTTTTACTGTGCGTATTGCTATGTGTTTCTTTATTCTACATTAGCTAGAGGTATAGGGGGAGGGTTGAGATTTCACAAAACATGTTTAACCCCGCCGCATTTTTGCGCCTGTCCTAAATCAGGAATCTCAGGCCTTTGTTAGTCTAGTATGTTTTTTAATTTTAGTTCATTTATATGTTTTGGAGTTTAGTGTGACGTTCATTTTCACTGAACTAGCACACAATTTTAGTTAGGGGCCAGATGAGGACCACCTCCGGGTGCGGGATTTTCTCGCTGCATTGAAGACCCATTGTTGGCCTTCGGCTGTTGTCTGCTCTTTGGTCGGGTTGTTGTCTCTTTGACATATTCCCCATTTCCATTCTCAATTTTGTTCTATATAAATATTGTCTGCAAACAATATTTTGCATGAAATTTATAGGTTACATTATTTAATGTTACAATTACACTTGAATAAATGCTGATATGAAATTGTTGTACATTTGTACTATTACTTTTTAGATTTATTCCGATTATGGATGGACTCAATACATTGCTACAGTAGACTGGAAGAGGACAAAACTAATTCTGATGAAAACAAAAGAATGTCAGATGATATTGATCCACCAGTAGTTATTGTTGGCACTTGGAAAGATGCTGTGATCGCGGAACCAGAAGAAGTATAAAATATTTCCGAATTTTAAATTATTTAGATACACATCTACTGTTTGTTTTGATTGATATAGAAACAGATACTGCTATCTTTATGTTGTTTTTAACATGAATGAAATATCTGCCACTGGACGATAAGCAAACAACAACCAATCAAGTTTCTCTTAAATTAATTAATGAGTTTTATCCCTGTGGTATCTTCTGCCATATTTCTTTGTAGTATATCAGACAATTAATTTTTTAATTTCAATGAAGCTTATGTATGAGAACCCAATATTTTTCTCTTTACACCAAATGAGTTTTCATTAGTGTTTGTGTCCCTGGCTATTGTTTACAAAAAATTAATGCAATTACACTAGGTAAGGGGCTTCTCAATGGGATGTAGATAATTACTATATACCCTTCTGTTTACACATTTTCATTTATAAAATGAAGTTTTTTGCATGATAGTTTAGAGGAATTTGTTTTAAATATTCTTTATATAATCAAATCAAAAAGTTCCATTTGATAGAGTCATAACTGTTCAAAGGTGATATAATCTATTAATCGAGAAAAACAATTTTTGTTCAAAACTTCCAAGTTCCGAGGCTCATTTCACAATTAATCATTCAAGAAAACATATTCGTACGTAATTAATATTTAAGAATATAAATCTACGACCAATTTCAGTCGTAAGATATATTTGCAAGAAAAGAGCCTGAACGTTGAAAAACATGATGTTCTTCTTCCAAACTACATATTTTTTAATGGAACAAAAGTTTGAATCATGCAGTCACATAGAAGACTCCAATGTTAAGATTTTAGGAAATATTCAATTATTGTGCTAATCTAAATCATTGAAATATCACAAAAACAGGTCATGAAAACGTATAACAAAAGTGATGGGATCATTATTGTTTTATTAAAAATCAAGGAGAGATTTCAGTCAGTGTGGTCTATTTACACTTAAAACTTAATTTTCAGATTAGACGATGCCATTTTTATATTCTGTGTGTAAGGGGAGAGCACAAACATATATTTTCAATCATTGTGAAGAACGAATACTTACTTTCTGAGACAATGTTGCATGAATGTTTATTTTCATTTTTCATGCAGTACTATTTCCAAATGTTGTGGCTCAGGATGTTTGTTTTCAAGAGAGATTTGTATACCCCTGCCTAGAAGGGGTATTGGTGGTATATATTGCTGTACGTGTCTGTCCGTTTATCAGTCCATCACATGTTTGATTTCCAGATTGTGATTTAAGTAAAATTTAGGTATCGCTTGACCACATCTTTTGAAAAGTTAAAACAATGTCATGGACAATAAATTACTGGTGAAGAATAAATTTCATGCTTTTAACATTGTCTGTTCAAAAGTTGTGCATCTTAGTCACCTTAAATGTTTTGTTTTTTCTTTGATTTCCAGATGGCTTTGTCATTTACAGTTCAAGAGTTATTCCCTTTAGTTAACCTAGCATTTAAATTAATTTTAGCTCACCTTGCATGGCCGATTTCATATCTGTCATCTTGATATATTATGGGACCATTTTTGGTAGGATTTTTATTGAATTGGTACCAATAGAAGCAGAATTGTCACAAGTTTTATTTTGACCCCTCTCCAGCTTGTCTGAAACGGTAACAGAGGTAACAGGGTCAAGGTCACTTACAATAGCATACTCATATTTCTGATTGGAGTTATTCTGACCATTTCTTTGGAGTTTTTAGACAGCACAGACAAACTTGTTTGATAGATAGCATAAAATCATATCTTGCTTTACTGACCATATTTTTCTTTCCAGGAGTAAAAGAGATAACTAGCATAAATAAGGACGCACATTTTTTATCCCTAATTCTGTAATGTTGTCATTTTATTGTTATATTTAACATTGCCATAAAAGCGGGAGGTTTGGCTAGCCACAAAAACAGGTTCAACCAACCATTTTTTTCTTAAAATGTCCTGTACCAAGTCAGGAAAATGGCCATTGTTATATTATAGTTCGTTTCTGTGTGTGTTACATTTTAATGTTGTGTTTCTGTTGTGTCGCAGTTCTCCTCTTATATTTGATGTGATTCCCTCAGTTTTAGTTTGTAACCCGGATTTGTTTTTTTTCTCAATCGATTTATGAATTTCGAACAGCGGTATACTACTGTTGCCTTTATTTCTGCTAGAGGCATGCAAATACTATACTTCGCCTTAATTGGAAATAATTCTTTCATGTCATGCTCCATTATCATTTAAACATGGGTAGGCACTATATTTGTCCACATTTAACATCTCGCTGACACTTGATGTAGAGATTTAGACAAATATAATGCCTACCCATGTTGAAATGAGCACAGAGCATGACATGAAAGAATCATTTCTTAAGTAAATGCTGGTTGTGTATGGTGTAAAAGAAACCTTAAAGCGTAAAAAAGAGAGTTGAAACCTACCTACAATTAAAAATCTGGTGAATTAAGCTGTTTTGCAACTAATAATAAAGTTTTTTCAAAACTTAAGGTTTGCTTCTATAATATATTTTGAATTTGCGTCATTCATTGGTGTTGAAAACCTTTAGTGACTCCATCATTTTTAATGTAAATTGTGAATTCAAAGAAGTTAGTGGGCTTAACGAGCAAATATTAACCTTATTTAAAACAATCAATGAATAGCCAAACCGGCACATGATAATATTACAATATCAATTTAAAAAGTTTGAATTGAAACCAGGACTTAGAATTGAAATATAATATATTTTATATATGGTTTTTGTAATATAAACATAAAAAAGGGATATTGTCTATATGTTCATAGCATTTGATTCTTTTAGAGTTTTTTATGAAGTCTTATTAACGAAAACAAATATTTCATTTTAAAGTTGGAGGAGGCATGCAGAAAAAACCTTTTAAAGTTTGCTGAGAATTTGTCAGAAGATGAACGTGGACATGTGAGGTGTGAATACCTTATTTCTAATAAAGATGATGATCACAGTGTATTCCAGCAAATACGACAAGACATTGTGAACTTAGCCAGAAAAATGAAAACGTGGAACAAAGACTATCCTTTAAAATTTATTCAGCTGGAAAAAATACTTCAAGAGAAAAAGAAGGAGTTACCGATTATTTCCTATCATGAAATTAAGCGCATTTCTACTGATACACCCATGCCTTTAAATGAGAAAGAACTGAGTTTATTCCTGGAATTTCACCATGAAATCAGAGCTTTAGTTTATTTCAAAGATCTTCCCGATTATATTATTCTAGATACACAATGGTTGTCGGATGCTTTTAAATGTATAGTAACAGCAAAAAAATTTCGGGCTATTAATATTAGAAATCAAAAAAGATGGGAGGAATTTTACAACAGAGGCAAATTACATAATGAGGTTATAGAAGATATTTTCAGAAATGAGACAAACATTTTGAATCAACATAAAGACTATATCCTTAAAGTAATGGAGAAATATGATATCATAATCCGTCCAACTATATCAGATACAAATGCTGCTGATAAAAAACCTCGCTATTATGTACCGTGCCTCATTAAAGATAAACATGAGTGTGATATATACAAAATGTTTAATGTGGCAGAAGGCATCTGTAACAAATCCACTTGGTTGTGTTTCAAGTTTAGGTTTCTACCACCACATTTGATAAATCATTTGATTGCTGCACTGTCCCGGACGTATGAAGTTGCAGAAGTTGCCTCTAAGCAAAAGAAAAGGCAAATTGCTCTTTTCAAAGGCTTTGCTGTATTTGAGTTACAAAAGACCTCAAAGTTACGAAAATTACTTGTAATGAAATGTCCAAATGCTATTCATATTCAGGTTTGGCAATTTGGGAAACAAATTGAAGGAGGTTTTTACAAATACATGGCTGACTTTGTGACGGAGGAAATAATCAAAATAATAAGTACAAGATTTAAGATGTCTAATGTCAAATTTGAGAAAAAGTGGGAATGTGGCCAAACAAAACCAGAGTCTGTGACAGGATCTTATGACTTTAGTGAAGATCAGGATTCAATATATTACTGTGAGACATGTACTACTATACATGAGTTCATTGGTGAATGGTCAGATCTACAACAGGTACAAAGTAGAGGACCTTATGTAAGTGAAATTATTATAATTTACATAGAAACTATGACGGTAACTACTGTTGATTCATTTATTTCGTGAGTATGAATGTTCGTGGATTGAGATTTGATTTTGTGGTTTTAACAGCATACATTCCTATAAAAAAATTTGTAATTTATTGAACATTTAAATTCGTGAATCTCCTGTACACATGAAACCCACGAAAATTAGTATCCATCGAATTATATTAAACCCACAGTATATGTTAGACTGGTTTTTTAACTCTATCTGTCCCTCCATTGCCTGCCTCATAACAATTTTTTATCGCTTTTTCATTGGAACCTTATAATAAAAGGAAAGGTTAAAGTAGTGTATAAGGATATATAGTTCCTGCAGATGTAGTATTTAAAGAGTAAATCGATTTAAAGTCGACACTTGCATGAAAAGAAAAAAGTACATAATTTGCATTTAATGGTCGGCTAGTCAGACAGTATATCTAATTGATCGTTGAAATAATATGTAAGTTGTAATGCGTTGCCATAATGTTTTAAAGAGTTAAGTAGAGTGATGTCTTATTCAAATATTTTATTGGATAAAGCACATATGAAAAATATGACATTGCGTGATCCAAGTATACAACATACATGACATATACAATACTGATAAATTAACTTTTAGTTTGCAAATTATTTTAGTTGTCAGAGAGTTCTGAAGATGTTCTAAGATCGAATCCTTGCACAAAAAGCTCCAGTAAAATCCAAACTACTGCTACATCCACCAAGGTAACAAACTACTGTTTGTAACATATAAGTTAGCATTGTGTTAATATTTGTATAACTGGCAGTAATTATTAATATGTAGGTATAGATATAAGATAAATTAATTAGTATTACTTGTATTACTGTATAACTCATTTTTGAAGAAAAAAATAACAATATTTATTCGTCAATGCTTGTAACTATGTTTAGATTGATTAAGGATACTATGAAATATTGACATGTTGAAATGAAAACCAGTCAGACAACTCATGTAAATCCAAGCTGTCTCTCATGAACATTTTTAGCTAATCTGACTATGTGAATATGAAAAGAAGATGTAGTATGATTGCCAATGAGACAACTCACCAGAGGAGACCAAATGACACAGAAATTAACAACGATAGGTCACCGTACGACCTTCAACAATGAACAAAGCCAATACCGCATAGTCAGCTATAAAAGGCCCCGAAATGACAAATGTTAAAACAATTCAAACGAGAAAACTAACGACCTAATTTATGTACAAAATAATGAACAAAAAACGAATATGTTACACAGCAACAAACGACAACCACTGAATTACAGGCTCCTGCCTTGGGACAGGCACATACCATGGAAGTATTATATTGTCAATATAATGCTTCCATGCACATACATAATGTGGCGGGGTTGAACTAGTTTGTTGGCGCCAACCCCCCTCCCCCCCCCCCCCCCGGGACAGTAGTGTAACAGTGCAACATAAGAACAAACTATAAAAACCAGTTGAAAAAGGCTTAACTCATCAGATGAGCTTATATAGCTATTGTCAAGTTTTCTCTTGAGACTGTTCATGAAGTTTACCAATTATTTTTTTATTTGGTATGAATGACATACCTTTTTTAATTACAGGTACGTGTTCATGTCCAAGCTGGTAAGAGAGTATTTTCAAATGTCAATGAAAAGGCACCAGGAACAGCCAGTTCGGCAGTGGTATGTAACATCTATTGTATTTTAATTCCATTTTCAGTTGACAAAAATAAAAAATGAATAGAATAGGAGTTGTTCAGTAAATGTGAAGGAAACAAACACAAAGAGCTTTAATTAAAAAGACAAAGTATTAACACATGTAATAGGTGAAGTGAGAAGCATTGGACGTAAACTTTCATCGGGTCGATAAACATAAACAAACAGCTTCACTGTACAATTATTCATGTGAAGTAAGTAGTGGGTTCAGCATTGAAAGTAAACTGTCATCGGGTTGATAAACATACATATGGTCTCTTGTGTAGAGTTGTCTCATTGGCAATCATACCACATCTTCTTATTTTTATATAAACGGCCTCGCTCTACTAGTATTCACGTGAAGTGAGCAGTGTGTGTTCCTCATTGGACGTTAACTTTCATATTGTCGATAAACATACATAATCTGTGGATACCTATATTTTGACATTGCAACGTTACAAGGTCATGTTTTTTCTGACTGTTAATGACGTCTTTACACTAAATCTATTGGATGTTTGATGTGTACTGATTGATATTTTAGTCTCAGATACATGATTTTTCTATTAATGTTATTGGCTTTGAACTATCGGTCAGTAACTGTGAGTACTCCCAGATCCTACTTAGGGTCTTTTTTGTTGTGGGATGTATAGATACGCTGCCACGTCTGGTCAGTGCTTTCATTAGATGTTTTCTGCTTTATATCGATCTGATGAGTTAAGCCCTTTTCAACTGATGTTTATGGTTTGTTCTTATTTTGTACTGTTACACCACTGCCCCAGGTTAGGTAGGGGTGGGGTTGGCGCCAACAAACTAGTTTAACCCCGCCACATTCTGTATGTGCCTGTCCCAGGTCAGGAGCGTGTAGTTCAGTGGTTGTCGTTGGTTCTTGTCTGTCATATTTGTTTTTCTTAAAGTGTTTTGTTATTACTTACCTATATTTATTACTTATTTTTTGTTTATTCAGTTATTGAGTGGTTATATGTGTTATATAAAGGCAGGAAATGCGCTTCGTTTTGTTTGAAAATGATGTGTATACAAGCATACAAATTGAAATTATGTTAGAATCACAAAGAAAAGAAATAAAATAAATTAATACACACAATTTTCACTAACAACACAAAGAAAAAGACATTCAATTAAATTGAGTTCAATAAAGATAAGTTTTAAAAGCACAATTTAGTTACGATTACCTACCACAGTAGAAAATATTCATCCTATAGGAGTAAACACTATACAATATTTTTCAATACATGATAATACACATGACACAAACTACAACTCATCGTAACCCAATACAATATGCTACAAACTACAATACATCATAAAACAATACATTGAAACATAATACAATACACGATACAATATGATACCAAGTACAATACAAAACACAATACAATACACACTACAATATGATACCAAGTACAATACAAAACACAATACAATACACACTACAATATGATACCAAGTACAATACAAAACACAATACAATACACACTACAATATGATATCAAGTACAATACAAAACACAATACAATACACAATACAATATGATACCAAGTACATTACAAAACACTATACAATACACAATACAATAAAAAATTTATCAGGATAAGTTCGACAATGGTCGGGTCAATATTTTTTTTTTAGCCTTACAATATTTGTACACATTTTTTCTTATAGTCATTTAAATATTTAATAAAATATTGATAGATTTTAAATTTTAAGTCATTTATTTAAGAAATGAACAAAGTCATTTCATTTTTCAAACGATCGTGTCATTATCAGTTGGTCAGGTCGAAGTTTTCTAACTCTTAAAAATTATTTTTTTTGAATTTTTTTCTTGTATTTATCAAACAAATGTTGTCATCTTGCTTGGTTTCAAATTTGAAGTAAATCCTTCTAATAATAAAAAAAAATAATTAGCATTTTCATATCGGTCAGGACATTTGTCAGGGCATTGTCAGGACATTAGTGTACCGGTAACCCAATAAAAGGTCAAAAATCGGGATGCCAACATGCAGTTGTGACAGCTCATTGCCGTGGACAAGTAGTTATTGAACACACTTTTATCTGAAATGCATCTCGTTTTACCTTTGAAGACCTGTTCTAGGAGTCAAAAATTAAAAATCTTTCTTTAGATGACCACAGTCACATTAATATTGGTTAGAACCATCGTCATTCCCGATCCTTCTTTCAACAGGCATAGATCTATCTTGGATGAAATTAATAGTAAATTCCCAACTTTTAAAAAATCACAGAATTATTTTATTTTGATGAAACCCAATATCCCCTTGTTAGTCTAATGGCATGCAAGCAGAACTCTTTTGTAAGTGGAAATTTAAGAGTTCCAATTTACGAGACCAAGGACGGCAAGGTGTTGATATTGTGATTGGCTTGCTCATAATAATAAGGGATGTGTAATTGGTTCCCACTTCTAGTCAAGCTAAAGAGTTTTAAATGCATTGCAGCTTTTTATGAGCAAAAGGATAGAGTATTTTGCTCAGTCAGAATAATGCATGTGAATGTGGTGACTTGTATTTAATACAATGAGATCTACATGCATAGTAATATAACTACCTTAATCAGGATGTTGTTTTAGTACAAAGCAAGAAATATTTCTTTATATTTTATAAAACTTATACACAATGCTTATTACAACAAAACACAAATCAAGTTTGAATTTGGGTGGTGTCCCTTTTACCTTTCTAGAGTTATGCCCCTTTACAAATGGAAAATTGTTTCCGTTCTCTAACTTAAGTTTGCCTTAACCAAATGTAATGAAACTTATACATAATGCTTATTACCACAAAACACAGATCAAGTTTGAATGTGGGTGGTGTCACTTTTACCTTTCTAGAGTTATGCCCCTTTACAAATGGAAAAATTGCTAATTTTTTTGTTTCCATTCTTTTACTTAAGTTTGCCGCAACCAAATGTTATAAATCTTATACACAATGCTTATTACCACAAAACACAGATCAAATATGAATTTTGGTGGCGTCACTCTTACCGTTCTAGAGTTATGCCCCTTTACAAATGGAAAAATTGCTGAATTTTTCGTTTCCGTTCTCTAACTTGAGTTTGCCTCAACCAAATATTATGAAACTTATACACAATGCTTATTACTACAAAACTTAGATCAAGTACGAATTTGGGTAGCGTCACTTTTACCGTTCTTCAGTTATGTCCCTTTATAACTCTATATGCAAGCGGGGGCATCATCTGTGTCCCATGGACACGTTCCCCATTTATTTTTGTTTGCTTACGGTACCATGACAAAACATTGAAGAAATTTTCTCTAGATTTTTTTCATGATTTTTTTTGACAGAATTCCCAGATTTTGTTTGTGAAAATTTCTTCAGAGCAAGAGTTGGTTTTAGATGCTAGGTGCTTGATTGTACTTTTGCTTTTTTTGGCAGGATCGTCTTGATCAAGTTTACAGACAACTAAATCAAGCAAAACTTATTTTAAGCCTTATCGTAGATTATCTTGGCCTTTTTTGTATTTTATATCACAATAAATGACGACTCTTATCTTCTTTTTAGTTCACCAAAGAGGAAATCAATTTTACAAAGATGGGAATGATAGTGCTGAATATTCTTGCCGATGCTTTATATGACCTATTAAAACAAGATAAACCAAATCTACGTCCAAGAAACGATTGTGATATAACATACTTATACAGTGAGCACAGGAAACTTAGTAAACATATTCCAAGTAATTCAAGCCACCGACGATGTCCCCCTGGACCATGGGGTGGGAATTGGCAAGATATTCAGAATACAGACATAGCTATTGGGGATGATATAGAGCGTATTAGACTTACAAGAAATGAACTACAACACTCTCAGATATTTAAACTTGAAGATAAACGTTTTACTGAGTTAAGTAATATAATAAGTGACCTTTTAAGACGGTTTAATCAACATAACAAACCAACAAGGCTGTATATAGATGTGCTGAATGAGATTTTGGTTAAAACTATTTCTGAACAAGAAGTGAAATCAATTGAAAATGAAATATTAGGTAAATATGCTTTAAACAGTTGGATTAATGAGCCTTTTTCTTGTTTTTTCTTGTAATATTTAATGTCCATTACTATTTTATTAGGGCCCCGCTGAATGGCGGACGCCCTAAAGTGATCAGTCTGTCCGTCCGTCCGTCCGTCCGTCCGTAACAAATTGTGTCCGCTCTATATCTAGAGAACCGTTATGATTTCAAAGTTTATACTTGACATGTATATTTACCAACACCAGAGGGTGTGTCATAATTTATGTACAACTTCCTAGGTCAAAGGTCAAGGTCAAAAACTTTGGTTTAAGTTGACAACCCCATGTCCTATGGTAAAGATCGTGTCCACTCTATATCTTGAGAACCGTTATGATTTTAAAGTTTATACTTGACATGTATATAAACCAACACCAGAGGGTGTGTCATAATTTATGTACAACTTCCTAGGTCAACGGTCAAGGTCAAAAACTTTGGTTTCAGTTGATAACCCCATGTCCAATGATAAAGATACAAATTTTTTGCCACACATTATTCACAGCGGGGCCCACAGAGATGGCTCCCATCTCAATGATATCTAGTTCCGACTTGTTTGTATTAAAGGTTTGAGTGTTACATGCAGACTTGCTTGTATTAAATGATGTGTGTATGCAGACTTAGGTATTTTTTAAACAGTTTAGTTATGTCTGTTGACTGTGGCCATATTTCAGGAAAAGCATTCCTTTGCCTGATACTGATAGTCTTTCAAGCTTTGTTTATTGGTTTTGCCAGTAAAAAAGTGTAATTCTGTAAAACATTTATTTTGAAGTAGAATTTCAAACAGTAACAACCAAGAGTGACTAGGGAAAATAGATATGGCCACTTTTGGTCTTCTTCAAAGTGTCTGATTGGTTGTGCGAGATATATAAATGAGAGTGGTAAAGGGTTATTTTCGTGCAACGTGTTTTGCCATTTTTATTTCACGTGGCAGATACCCGGGTCCCCCCTTTGCGCCCCTCATAAATACGCAGCCACATCTGGTCAGAATGTGGACGTTAAATCAGATGCTTCGTGTAAGAACCCTTGCAACAACTTCTCGGGGGTCCTTATGTGACCTTAAGCTGTTACAAGGTTATTCTTGTCTTTTTCATATGCACCTTTATTTATTAGTGGCAATCCAAATTTCCTGTAATTCAGCCTGGTGGATGCCTATTACAGGACCTATCGGTTGTACTTATTATTAATTTGTTCTCGTCCTCAACATGAATTAAATAAGTGCCACTGTACGTTATGTAAACAACAATCAATCAATCAATCAATCAGTAACTTTTATTTTATCTACCCAATTGTGATTTATTTTACTTTATTTTAGGGATGACGATTGAAGTTGAAATTGAACACTAAATCAATGTTCCACCATAATAGAGAAATAAACTCATCTTCACAATTTTTATGGAAAACAGTTATTTATACACATTATAAGAAATACACATACTACCATAGCAACAGATTTGTAGAAGACCAATACTTTTTGGACACAAGGCAATCATCTATACGTAATTCTGTTAATTAAATATGTTAAAATCAGATTGATGGAAGGAAATGGCCAAGATGAAAAAGTGGACCAAAGTGAAAATATTAGACAAAAGTTAAAGCTTAGACCAATATTGGACTGTTTAAGTGCTATTTTTAAAATGTAATCACATGTAGCAAAAACTGTAATGTAGATTTTGCCAATACCATATTAATTATATAATCATTATGTACATAATATTAAATATCTGTTTATAAACATGTATTTAGGTCTTACAATGAAATCAAAAGAAGTTGTATAGTACAGTGAGAAACAAGAGACAAAACAAGAAAGCATTTAGGAAAATTTCCTCCATATTTTTGTTGAAAAGGATAATGAATTATTTGATTTTTTTTCCTTGTAGGAATTAGGTGTAGATGTTAAATTTGTTAGATTTCGTGAAATATTTTCACACTCTCTGCTTTTTTTTTTATACTACAGTGTAGGCACGACTTTATGACTGGCATATTGTCTTGTTTTTTGTCTGTCGGAGAAAGCTGTATTTTGAATATTTAAATTTGTGCCGTTTTCCTTTAAGTCGGCAAGTTAAATAACAATACAACATAAGCTCTGAGTGAGCTTTTGAACCGACATATCTTATCTTGACTCCTGTCTGGATGCAGTGTCCCTTCACTCAGAGAAATTGAATTGTTTGATGTATGCAGAAGATATTGTGATTATGTCAACATCAGCCACAGGTCTCCAAAGTAGACTAAATCAGCTAGAAAAATATTGTGCTGATTGGTGCCTGGAAGTTAATATTACAAAAACTAAAGTTATTATTTTTAAGTTCAGGCTGATTTCCTGCTACAGAATAACTTGATTGATTGTGTCTCTCATTACAAATACTTAGGTGTTCACTTCACTGCATGTGGAAGTTTTCATCTAGCTAAAACTGAACTATACAATAAGGCTCTTAATGCCTATTATAAACTAACAAAGGATTTTATAAATTTGTATCCTGGAATAAAATCCTGTGTTCATATTTTCTATTATACCTTTAAACCCATTCTGTTATATAATTCAGAAGTAAGGGGAGGTTATAAATTACATTACAATCCTCCTTATTTAGTCTGGAAAATATTTATAAAAATCTTCAGTGTGAGAAACTTCATCTCACGTTCTCTAAATTTATACTTGGTGTACACAAAAGGAGTGTAAATTTTGTTGTATTATCAGAACTGGGCGTTTCCCCTTACATTATGATATTGTAAAGTCAATTGTTAAATACTGGTATAAATTTGACAATCTTACGACTGAATTCAGTGTGTTGAAAGACACTTCTAAATGCAGCCAAGAGCTTCACAAATCTAACATAACTTCTTGGTTCTCATTTGATAAAAAAATATTAGAAGTTGTTGAAATTAAACAAGAAGTAAAACATTTTGGACAATATAAATTTTTGAATATATCTAACAAATTAATTCAGATGATCTCTTTGACTTCGTATGCCAAAAAATTCCAAACTTTTCTTTACTGGACAATCAGCAAAAATTCATTTATTTATTAAGCTGTGAAGACAATCAGGTCCTTAATGGTGTTGGAAAATTTATTAAAGTCAATATGACTTAAAATTATTTATTTTTCATATAAATATATCATAAACCATAAACCAAGGGCTTTATTACAGTCTAATTGTATTGTGATTGTGTACTTAAATTCTATGTATCTATGATAATCAATGTTCTTTTTCCTTATACATGTATTCTCTATATAATTTGGTAATAAAATATGATCTGTTCTGTTCTATACGATTTAAAACTTGACATATTAAGTAGACAACTGTCTATTATTAAACACTATAATTATGTTGCCCTCTGGATGTGCTTAGGTGGTTTTTGTCGTTTGATTGCTGTCTTATTGGCGTATAACCCACATCTCCTACAGTCTGATGTACTTTTAAATCAGTTTATGACAAATTGTAAATGAAAGGGTTATTGAGTAAACATTAGTTTCTTTTCTTTTCCTCACGCATATGCTCAGAGGAAGATTAACCGAAGAGCAATGTAATTAGATTTACAGTAAACAAAACAAAAACACATTTCGTTTTTAAATTTTTAACTTCCTCTCTCCCCTCCCTTATTTTTTATTTTTCATTCTGAAGACATATTCCATCTCAACGAAGTCCAACTTACTAGTATATTGTTTTTCTGTTTTCTCATACTTGAATATAAATTTCATCAAATTCGATCCCAAAAAAGTCCCTGACAACAACAAGACTGACAACAACAAGTCGTTCAGATGCTCGCTACGTCTACGCATAGCAGTTGTTGATGGAATGCGCAACATGTACTATGACTACGCTCACCAGAAAGCCGAATTCGTAGCCGAACTAAGGCAAGAACTGTTTGGGGAAGTTGTCGACATTATTTCAGAAGATTCTTCAGCAGACATTGAGATGTATGACTAGAGGAAAAGCACCAGACTACTTCAAAAACGATACTTTTCAGAGCCACACACATTTTTCAAAAAGAGTCTGAAATTGTTGTCATCAGTTTATCTATAGTTCTGTACCCAAATATTATAACTGCAGCTCTTAACTCCACAACTGGTTTAAAAAAAATGAAAATTGCAGTTTATATCCATACCTTTTTTTATTTTAACTAGCGTACACCATATTCTGAAGTGATGTATGCTTCAAATTTCGAACGTGTGTTTTTTTTTTGGTGGGGGTGACCTAAATAAATCAGTGAATTTGAAGTAGAATAATCGAGAAGGTAATGTTTCGAGCAAAATCCTTTTCTCATAAAACGAATTAAATATTTTCAAAATATAAGAAAATTTACGCAATAAATTTATACAAATGATGAAAGACAGAAGGAAAAACAAGGTAGAGACGGGAGAAAAGAAAATCCGCGCTTTTTTGTGTATCTTATTACTTGAAATAATTTATGATTATTTTTTATCAATTTTTCAAATGAAATTATTTTTTGATTAAAATAAAATTTTGCAATACACAAACTACATTTAGTAAATTGTAAGATGATTTAATCAATTTCATGATTGGATTACAATAAATCGTGATTAATAAACAAAGATGTTTGACAATATACACAAGCCCACGAGACGAGACTGTTTTGACAATGGACTCGTGCCTAACCTAGAAACTCAAATTAATTACTCTGTGGTGTCATTACCCTGACGTTACTCAATTTCAGGTGCCACTAAAAAGAGCTATATAACCAATCCTTTCCAAAGAATCACCAGAACTTGTTTCAACCCGCATAGTGCTAACAACTACATATTCTTTATCAATCATGAAAGCTAAAGTACAAATGAGAAACCTCAACAAGAGGTCTAAACTGGTTGAGAGTGAACGTCGATTCAAGAGAGCCTGTGAACAGATTGTCCAATTGAATTATTCTTTAGACGCACTTCAAAAGAGATACAACAGAGCCAAGACTGACAACAACAAGTCGTTCAGATACTCGCTACGTCTACGCATAGCAGTTGTTGATGGAATGCGCAACATGTACTATGACTACGCTCACCAGAAAGCCGAATCCGTAGCCGAACTGAGGCAAGAACTGTTTGGGGAAGTTGTCGACATTATTTCAGTAGATTCTTCAGCAGACATTGAGATGTATGACTAGAGGAAAAGCACCAGACTACTTCAAAAAACGGTTCTTTTCAGAGCCACACACATTTTTCAAAAAGAGTCTGAAATTGTTGTCATCAGTTTATCTATAGTTCTGTACCCAAATATTATAACTGCAGCTCTTTACTCCACAACTGGTAAAAATAAAATAAAAATTGCAGTTTATATCCATAACTTTTTTTATTTTAACTTGCGTACACTATATTCTGAAGTGAAATATGCTTCAAATTTCGAACGTGGTTTTTTTTTGGTGGGGGGGGGGGGGGAACCTAAATAAATCAGTGAATTTAAAGTAGAATAATGATGAAAGTAATGTTTCGAGCAACATCCTTCTCTCATAAAACGAATTAAATATTTTCAAATACAAGAAAATTTCCGCAATAAAAATATACAAATGATGAAAGACAGAAGGAAAAACAAGATAGAGACGGGAGAAAAGAAAATCTGCGCTTCTTTGTGTATCTTAATACTTGAAATAATTTATGATTATTTTTTATCAATTTTTCAAATGAAATTATTTTTTGATTAAAATAAAATTTTGCAATACACAAACTACATTTAGTAAATTGTAAGATGATTTAATCAATTTCATGATTGAGTTACAATAAATCGTGATTAATAAACAAAGATGTTTGACAATAAACACAAGCCCACGACACGAGACTGTTTTGACAATGGACTCGTGCCTAACCTAGAAACTCAAATTAATTACTCTGTGGTGTCATTACCCTGACGTTTCTCAATTTCAGGTGTCACTAAAAAGAGCTATATAACCAATCCTTTCCAAAGAATCACCAGAACTTGTTTCAACCCGCATAGTGCTAACAACTACATATTCTTTGTCAATCATGAAAGCTAAAGTACAAATGAGAAACCTCAACAAGAGGTCTAAACTGGTTGAGAGTGAACGTCGATTCAAGAGAGCCTGTGAACAGATTGTCCAATTGAATTACTCTTTAGACGCACTTCAAAAGAGATACAACAGAGCCAAGACTGACAACAACAAGTCGTTCAGATACTCGCTACGTCTACGCATAGCTGTTGTTGATGGAATGCGCAACATGTACTATGGCTACGCTCACCATAAAGCCGAATCCGTAGCCGAACTGAGGCAAGAACTGTTTGGGGAAGTTGTCGACATTATTTCAGAAGATTCTTCAGCAGACATTGAGATGTATGACTAGAGGAAAAGCACCAGACTACTTCAAAAAACGGTTCTTTTCAGAGCCACACACATTTTTCAAAAAGAGTCTGAAATTGTTGTCATCAGTTTATCTATAGTTCTGTACCCAAATATTATAACTGCAGCTCTTAACTCCACAACTGGTTTAAAAAAAATGAAAATTGCAGTTTATATCCATACCTTTTTTTATTTTAACTAGCGTACACCATATTCTGAAGTGATGTATGCTTCAAATTTCGAACGTGTGTTTTTTTTTTTGGTGGGGGTGACCTAAATAAATCAGTGAATTTGAAGTAGAATAATCGAGAAGGTAATGTTTCGAGCAAAATCCTTTTCTCATAAAACGAATTAAATATTTTCAAAATATAAGAAAATTTACGCAATAAATTTATACAAATGATGAAAGACAGAAGGAAAAACAAGGTAGAGACGGGAGAA